AAAAAAAAAAAAAAAGGGAAAAAGAAAAAAAAAGAAAAACCATACCAAGGGAAATCATATGCACAGGAATGCAACAAGCACTCAAAATGGAAAAAGTCGAAGACAAAACCTCATTACAGTAAAGTTTCGACGCGATTTTCACGGACAGCATAACCATATCCCCAGCCAACACGGGACGGCTATACGCCAGCATCTCATTCTGAGCGGTCCGCAGAGCCTCCTCGCTAACAGCGTTCGAGTCAATCGCGATGGTCACGCAATTGTCGCTGGTTAGCAGAAGGTCGACGGGGATGTTCGAGTCATCGATGATCGAGAGAATGCGGGCATAGAAGCCGTAGTGGGTCAACTTTCTGTTTGAGTTCACGCAGAGAAGACTGATGTTCTCTTTTGCGGAGACGGAAATTTGGCGGTAGTCTTTACATTTTGTTATGTCCTGGTACGTAGCGTTAAGTACTGAGTTAGGGAGTAGGGATCGGGGTTGAATAGGTAAATTAGGAGAGGAGTTTTATTGGAAATTTGGCTGGTCTTACCTCGGGCTTACCCGGCTGAATGAATTTTTCGGGACTGTGAAGCACATCCGTGTTTAACTTTGCTCCGAACTCCATGGTGGGGAATTTTGGGGGGGAAGGAAGATCGCTGTGGGTTTTCGCTGAATCGCAGAAACATGAAGAGTATGAGTGGGAATCACTTCAATGGGGAAAGCATCCAGAAACGGGAGTCTGGTTCAATGGGAGAATTGGGGGTTAAGATTAAAGAGTGGACGTTGCGACAAGAGTTGGAACAGTAGATCGTGAGTCAGGGGCGGATCTAATCAATCGTTTAAAAAGCGGGTCTTTGGGCTCCGGTCGCCGAAAAATGCCGCAGAATGGAACCGATTGCCTGCTAGAGGTTTTGACCGCCATGTTTTATTCATTGAATGGCTTGTACTCCCCGTAGGATGATTCAAATCTGCATGCTTTTGATTGGCGCTGGGAGTGAATTGAACAGTTGAGGATGTCATGAATAACCGGATAATTTACGTCAGACTTATGATTCAGCTGGAATGCTGGATTGACTTTGGCAGTTACCTGTTGAACTTATAGGGTCTCTTCAGGCGCCCTGGAGGATTACCTGTCCCTTTCTTGTTTGTGCCTGGAATAACTCCTCAAATGAAAGGGTGTTATTTTTCGCCTTACGCTGTTACTCGTGTATCCTTACCCTTCATTCATTGCTTTCGAGCTACTAGGTATGGAATGGCTGGGCTAGGGGCTGGTTCATGTAAAGACTCCTTACTGACATACTTGACCTACCTGCAAGGATCCATCCCATACCACTGTTGTGTTGTACAGAGACTCTTACAATGTTTAGGGTGGCATTACTCTCCGCCACTGCATAGATTTCCTTTGAAGTCTGTGCGCAGGGCAACAAAAACTCTCCTCAGGATCCACTATGGACGGCAATACTCCGGAGTAACTCGGCAAATTTTATACTCTCAGCTCATCACAGAACATTTGTACACACTGTTGCTGCCTATTAACAAAAATAATAGTGAAAAATAAGGAATAAGCAAGTGATAATTTTCAATACTACGTAGTAGAGAGCTTCGATGTGACTGGCTGCCCTGAATGCCCAGCATCTAATGCAGGAGCACAGCCTCAGGCCCCGTATAAGACAACCGGGCCCGCACACTCAAAGACGCTTAACGTTTACGGACCCATTTCTCATCCACAACCATGGTTTCCCTGAGAGGTCTCCTGAAAATTTCCCAGCGCCATCCCCGACCCACTGCGTCGGCATTGAGAGCGTCCACTGTTGCCCCCGCATCAGGCTCCCCGTTCATTAACAATTCGCAGGGGGCTTCAGCCGCTGTGGCGGATTTATCGGATGCTCTTGGCACGGTTTTTGATCAGATTGATCTTGATGGTGAGACATCGTTTGATTAGAATAGAATGTAACAGTTGTTTATTGTGGATAGGTGATTTGAATAGCCAGATTAATGGATTGTTGGAGCGACTCGATCAAGAGGCTTCTCAATATGGGAACTCTCAGCTGACAGATGAGCAATATTCTGACTGGGAATGGTATGTCAAATGTATTTTTTTTTTTGACTATGAATGTCCCTTATTAATCCGTATCTCTCAGCTCTCCAGAAAAGGCTGAATTGATCTCCGTTGCGTGGCACTGTGCCCGAGAGGTATATGAAACCTCCTCGGGTCTACTCAATGGCCCTATTCGCAAAGGGAAATGGAAACTCGTACCAGGCGATTGCATCGTTCCATCAACTGATGGAACGGTCAAAGCTGTTTCCTTCAACCATGTGTCGACAGTTGAGGAGGGGACTGAAAACAAGGATCTCCCTGTACTAGTAGTTGCCATTCGAGGAAGCGCCAGTGCAGTCGACCATATGGTAAATGCTAACTATGAGCCACGCAATGCAGATGACTTTATTGTGAGTCTTGCTGAGTAGCATATGCATGTCTCAAGTCGCTATCTGCTAACAAACAAATGACAAAGGATATATCTCGGCTTGCGTCAGAGAACAGCACTGCTCTTCAGGCGCATTCTGGGTTTCTGGATAGCGCAAAGGCTCTGGAAAAAGCCGTGTCACAGAGGATAAAAATGTATATCCGTGAGAATGCAAGTAACTACAGCCACGTCTTGTTCACTGGCCACTCGGCAGGTGGTGCGGTTGCCTCACTTTTGTTCCTTCGGTATCTGGCGGAAGAAAGCCTTTGTAAGAGACGCATTCACCCACATCAGCCTGGAAGTCGATATACTGACATAAAGCGTTAGACCCAGAGACCCGATTCTCGTGTATAACATTTGGGGCACCTCCAGTGGTGACAGTCCCTCTCTTGGAAAGCCCCGTGGTTGGAAATTCTAGCGGAGTGTGCCTGAATATTATTAACGAATTCGACCCTGTTACTCGGGCAGACGGGTCATACAAGCAATGCCTGGTGGATCTGATCCACTCAATGTATAACCAACAGCCGGCCCTACCTAGATCTGAGCCGTCGAGTACTACAGTGGATTCGTTGTTTACCGATGATAGCGAACGTTTCTTGAAAGGAAAGGATTGGTCTGTTCTACCTTCATGTTACTCACATGTTGGCCCTCGGATCGTCCTTCTTTTACGATTGAAGACTAGTCTGAAGGAGAGTTCTCTTCGGTTACGTGCCGTCGAAGTACCCCGGGCCGACTTCGACAGACTTTTATTCTGTCGGGTTGCAGTGCATCGACGGGTATGCTATGGGGAGAGAGTGGAATTGATTATCAAAGGAGAGCTTAATGGGAGAACTAGTTGGTATGATACCAAGTCTCAATAGTCTGGAAAACCTGTGAAAGAGACATATTTAGCTAGTTGTATGTACTACTACTACCAATATTATGATCGTACCGGAAGAGCTATTCCCTTCCGTCTCGCGATCTCAACCGCCCTATAATAACGCACATCATCTTCCACCTTCTTCACGATGCTGTCAGCATCGCAACTAACATCATCTATAATATCCATGTCATCGTTTGCCACAAAAGCTTCCATCGCAGATGAAACAGCCTCACAATCCCAACAAAGACAGACATGATATTGCTGCCCGAAGGCGATCTGGAACAACTCATGCGTCTTATCAAACCGAGTATGCAAGAACGACTTCCCCAACTTGTCATCATGGTTGACCATCAATCCAGCACGTTCAACCGAACTCGTTCGGTACTGCTCCGGATTACACAGATGCGTATGCCAAGCCAGGTCAACGTCTAGCGTCGGCACCAGAGTCGTCTTTGGGTAATCACGAAACAATTGCAGGAATTTCTCGTAGCGGTCAATGGCACGACGAAGCGTCCCATCAACTGCCGGGCTGCGGATCCAGAGATGATCGTGCATCTTCTCTACAAACTTGAACTGTCGTTCGACATTTGCCTTCAAGGGCTTGTTCCTGAGAGCTTCGGCTCTCGTGGCTTGAACCATCTCAACGAAAGCATAATTAGACGGAGTATCTACATATTTCAATAGTGAGAATGAACTCGTCTTTGAGCCAGATCCGTATTGAGAGAGGACATGCTTAGCGTGGCTTTCGCGTTTGCCGAGTTCAACGAGCGTCTCGAAGAGGTCGGGTTTAAAGTCTGCCTTTTTTTCTAGCCACTCCTTGTGGGTCTCGGGGAGACGGTATGACCAGTCTCGTGAGTTTATTGCCTCGTACTGTTTGACTTTAGTTAGGAAGTGTGCTCGGTAGGCCGATCTATGGTTAGCGAGTGAAAACGTACGATTCGCTGCCATGGAAGGGGAGCTTTGCGCATCCGTTCCAACCTATGTTTAACACAGTAGAAGTCGAAGTCATCGGGATTCAGCAAGAAGGCATGCCACACCATAAGCACGTCTGTGTAGAACCTTAGTAATGTTTCTCCGACGTATTCAAAGGACATACAGGAGAGAAAAAGTACACTTACCGACAGGGGGTAATAGACCCAACCCTGATGGCTCGCTCTCATTCTGTGAATCAGCACCAGAGAAGGCCACCCTATTAACGGTCCGGATCCATCTGCTGAATCGGCCGACTGCGAGCTCCAGAAAATAGTGCCATTTGTTCTTTCGCCTCGTTTCAAACTGGGTGTCCTTCACCGTGACTGTATAGGACTCATATTTACGTAGTTTTGAAGAATACTGCTTGCGGTAGACTGTTCTTGTATTAGGTGTGATGCCGAAGGTATTGTCCAGATCTCTGGATTGCTGGACCCTGTCTCGTAGAGCATGGAACACTTCCAGCAGCTCGAGGTGGACGGCGCATTCGCTGATGGTGGGGAGATCACGTCGGTTAGTATTGGTTGTGTGTGACGAAGGTTGGAAGAGTTGTGGATCTGGTATTATAGGCTCCTCTGACTTGACCAGAGCTTTGTCATAATGATATGTGGTATTTGAGAATTTGGCATTGTTAATTTCAGCGCCGCTTGCGCGATGAAGAGACGCGATGTTCAACGAGACGAGATGAGCCATGTTGAGTGGTGATCAAACCATGGATTGCTGATGAATTAAAGAGAAGATAGTGTATATAAGATCAAGAACTGGGTGCAAATAAATTCTCGAGGCACATACCATCTTCACCATAATTACTGCCAAGGTGTCTCAGCCTCAGTGGGTAAGGCATTGCTTAGCCGCAACCCCCGAAATACGAGGCGATTGCGGAGATCCGGCAAGGCTGCACGACACCCTCGCGTGATAGAGAGCCACTCCTTGGCAATTTGCATTAGCAGTAGTTCCTAGCCCCAGTCTAGGTTTATTAAAGCTCCAGTACATCACGCCAATTTCCGAGATGACCATTACATCATGAACTAGTATCACAATGGGTTCAAGTCATGAAAACCGACAGCTTGAGAAATCAGGTCCGGCTAGAGTATTGGCTTGTTATGTTTACGCCGTATTTGTTCCTATGTTTGCATTTGCCATCGTTCAAACCCTGACCCTACCATCTCATCGAGAAGTTAAATTCCTGCTGCATAGAATCGACCATGGCCTCTACCTTCTCCACGGTCTCGAATTGGTCATGCCGGTAGTATGTCCCACTGATTTGAAGTTCGCGAAGAAGTTCACGCTGACAATATTCCCCTGTTACTAGGCCTGGGTTCTGCTAGTTCTGGCATTCATTATATTCTTCCTTTTCGGGGCAAGAGAATTGTATCTTGCAGCCATGGGGATGCTGAAGCTATCCCTGACCGCTATTATTTTGGCCGGGGTAGCGATGCAGTCAAAAGTCCTCCCAAGCTCCTTTGGTGGTTGCAATAGCTTAGCGACAAGTTGGCGTGAGGCCTTGCCAATGGACATGAGGGACTCTTCTACAGGCAGCGAAGCCTCGCTGCATTCTGCCTGCAAGAAAATGGTTGAGCATTGGGCATTCGCGGTTGCCGTGGTGTAAGAACAATACATATTTCTCAGTTCTATAGGCAGTAGCTAACCGGACGCAGGATTTTTTACATTCCCTATGCCTCACTCATGATCTTTCATGGCGTTCGAGGAATCTTGCATCCCCGTCCGCGTCGTCGGTGGTCTTCTAAGACTAGTAGATCTCTCAGAATTCAAGCGGCAATTTATTTCGCGCTCAAGTACATAGCAAAGGTGTTTCGGCGACTGAAACCGCGAACTCGAAAGCCACCAACGCACGTCATGACGCGGCAGGGTGACGGGATTAATCGGCGCTCGAAAATCTTTACTGGCCTCCGTCGTCATAAAAGGTCCACTAGCTTGCCTACACGTGTCCTGCCTTCGAACGTGCTTCTCAAGATTGCTTCATATGCTCATTATGTGGATATAGTCAATTTACACACTGCCTACGATAAGCTATTCCTCGCTTATATCGGGGCTGGAGATGTGGAGTCGAAGCTTGAGGAGCTTCGAATGTATACCTGTTTATCAGAGGCCAAACAAGAGTGCAGGCTCTGCAGTGCGCAAATATGCGAGGTATGATAGTATCCTGCAACTGCGCACGTACAATGGGTTATTAACGAAGATACTAGTCATGCTGGATATCCGTTCCTGTCCCACACCCAGCAATACTTTCGCACCTAGAATCCTGCAAGCCAAACTGCTCTGATTGCTTCTACAAAACCTATTATCTCATAGGATCTCAGACATGCAAAATGGCGGGTGCCGAAAGAGCAGGGCCTAGCTTTCAACATAGAAACGTCTGCCGGGACTGCGCGTCAATGACCGGCTCGGAAAAACTCCGGATGGTGGAACTACAGGCTCAAGCGGAGATGCATAAATTCTCTAAGGAATCTTTGTTTTGTGCAGACTGCAAGAAGCAGTTGCCACCGTCGGGCCCACGATGGTGGATTTGTTCTTGTGGAGAGGAGTGCAGTCATCATATTCATCCCCCGTGGGGCTTGGGGAGCAAGAGCTAGGGCGCACACAGTGTTGTACTGTAATTGGACGGACACTGGGGTTCAATATCATACTAGGATGACTCCAGATGTATAATGGTAATGATTTGCATATTTTACGGTAGAAAAATTAAGCACATTAGCACAGCTGCACAACACTACTACCTGCATCCAATTTCTACTACTATAGTAGGGCTATTGCAAGTCCGAAGGGGCAGCACGTGGCTTAAGCACAGATACCGCAGTCTCAGAGAACTTCTGTAGGCAACAGTGCATAACTACTCCGTATCATCAACCTAAACTAATGACATAGATGACCCACCTCGCAGCCTCACTTTTTATTTGAAAAACCCACGACCGCAAGGCAGAAATCATCGACTGATGCAATAGAATGCAATGCAGGTACTCCGTACACGAGAACCATCGAGAAAGCCCGTTTCCTTGGCGTAACCGCGCCCCGGCCTCGCTAGTTGCCCGTGGCTGCAGCTCGTATTCTACGAAATGTGCTAACCGCAAATGGGCCAGATTACGCGAAGGCAGAATGCTGATCTATTGGCGCTATCTTGCATGGCTGTTCTACTGTTGAGCCTCACTAGTAGGACGAACTCGTGACATTCGGCTATCTGGGGAACGCCGTCTGACCTATATCGTAACGAAATATATATTTATTTATTCGGAACTGAATACTAAGTTGTTATTGTTAGACTACTTACCAGATGAATCATTAGTATGGCTCGACTAAAGGCTTTCGATAGCTTCCATCGGTCGTCGCAACCAAATATCACCCAGGCACCGGATACATCATGGGAGCCGATTGGACCGGGGAAAGCCCACCTCCTTCAAGAGCTTGAAGCGCTCTATTGGACTGGAGTCGAGAATGAACTGGAGAATATCATCCGTACACTAAAGATTTGGCAACAGCCAGAGTACGCGCATATTAGTATCAGCGATGAGAATGATACCAAAATCCATGGCTTTGATACGTTCCTGGACCAGGTTTGTCAGGAGGCGAGAGCGTTCGCTATTCGCTATGGTTAGTTTTACCCCACCAGGCCCTAGGACAGGTATATGATACGTGTGATATAGATTATGATTAATGCCATATAGGGGAGACAAAGCTACAAGAGATGGCCAACCAGAAACCAGCACAGGCGATATTGTCGCGTAACCTTTCGTATAAGGAGGCGCTGAAGAGAGTCATCCTTGATACTCGCGCGGAGTATTTTAGTAAAAAGATTAAAGAGGAAGTTCGAGAACAACTTAACAGTGAGCTTTCCTTGTCATGCTTTGTCTGAATAGCTGCTAATACCGTATTTCCTGTGAAGCCATTCCAAGACTGTCTGGTGTCGAATTGCGAGCATGGATGTTGCTCCAGAATGCTGGTAAGTACGGGAATAGTGGCATTTAACCATGATCAAGCTAACTAAGTCATGCTAGGTTTCCTTGACATCGACAAGCTGATTGAGCATCGGCCGCCGCTGGATAAGTTAAGTTTTTGGAAACGACCAGCGATCCCACAGCGTATGTCAATATGTTTCTACAAATGTGTATTATTGTGAAATACTCATGAAATATAGTTAAGCTCTCCAACTTCGATGACCAATGGGTCCCTCAGTTTGCCCCAATGCAATGTGCCGAATGCAGGGCCATCATTCGTGGAAGCATGTTCACCAAACAGGAACAATCTGAAGCAGCACAAAAAGCCTCTCACACCATATGCGAGGACTGTTATCGGTCTTACTATTATGGAGATGAGTCAATATCCAAGAGATACAAACATTGTGTACTATCTGATTCTATCCAGCCTAGCATGAGCAGGAAGATGTGCGAATGCAAGGATGTATCTCACTATGATCCACAGGGGTGTCCACGCAGCCTGTTCCCACTGAATGAGGAAGATAGACACGTTTCCTACGTATCTACCCACCGGTGCACGATACTGAAACTCTCTGAATTGGTTACATATGCAAAGTACCAGGGGCTTCTGCGCACCGCGAAGGTGAAACGGAAGAGGGGAAGGCGATTGTCTGATGCCTCGTGGATCTCGAGAATAATTGACCGATCTCGGGGCAGGCCGAATACTCAACGTACAGAACCACCGCGTGGACGAGCTTACAATCTAACGCCGCAAACATATGAGAAAAAAAAGCAACCAGCCTTTCGTTCCGTGACGGAAAATACCCGCCAGGGAGACCACCGTCATCCTGTATCGAGTACCACGAGCGCAGCGATGGAGTCAGAGGCGGATGAAGATATCCCGCTTTTCTTTCGTCAGTTCACTGAGAAGTACCCTTTTGGAAACGTACATATGGCTTTGCGTGTAGGTCCATTGGTTATCGAGAACGGCGTTTCCCAGTAAGTATATCTCACCCGAAAAGGTGTTCTTCCAAAGGGAAAGGCAGGATCTGATTAGTTATGGTCAGCACAAAAGCAGGTGCTCTTATCACCGTGAGGGAATCACCCGTATTTCACGAGCGCTTTGTACGTGGGACACATCAACGCAGCCTAGCAGTCGGAGGAGACCCAGAAAGACATTTATGGCAACAACAACGACAGCTAGGCCAGCCAAAGAGATACAAAGCTTTAATGAAACAGATTGTCGGGGCTCCCTTTACAGGTGTTCTTTCCCAGAAACCGGAGAGCGAACAAGAGAATGAGATCATAGAACTCCTCGTGGCAGCCAGTAAGCAGCCGTTTGATAATCCTGGCTTGCCCATAATGGAACAGCAAAAGATTCTCGATGTCACAATAAGCTCTGTCCTGGAAAAGCTAAAGGATCTGCTCAACTCAAGAGTCAAGGTATACCTTACCAGCATTGCCCGGCGTCTTCTCGATACCGAAAATATACTCACATGGAGTGCGACAAGCAACAATTGCCAGAATTTCTGCAACTCTTTGATCGACACAGACCTCTTCGAGCCACTGGCAAATGGCCCGCATATGCAATCAAGCGAGGTATCTTCTCCGCTCTATCTGATGAGCTTCGTCTGCCCGCCCGAGGGTTACCTGAACAACAAGATCATCAGTAAATTCGACGTCCCCATTGGATTAACCGAGGAATACCTTCTTCGGTTCCACTATGGCCGCCATGACGAGGCAGACTTAATTGACACCCTTCAGGAATACTGGTACGACTGGGGAGCGTTCGACTCTACATTATATAACTACCAGGACCTCTTTCCATGGGATTGTACCGAAGCATACAGGAGATATCCGACTAAATGTGGAGATTGCAACCTATCGAAACACGTCTGGGCCTTTCCTTTCGATTCATGGTCTATTATCGGGCTTCACCTCTACCGTGATAAACACATGTATCAACCTAAACAGAATGCAGATACCAAAACCACTAATCCCTGGTTACGAGACCGTCTTACCATTCTCACAGCATCGTCTATCCTCGCCCGTGCCGCAACGGCAATGGCTAAATCGCCCACATTTTGCAAAGCAACAGCCTGGCTCCACTCTAAAGAAAAGGGACTACGCCGCATCGACCCTTCTCTCGCCCGGGTCAAACTAGGAGGTATCCACCGTGCACAACCATTCAGCCACTACTTCGAGGCAGGGACCTACAGTCACTACTTCTTAGCCGAATGGGCTTTGAAAAAGCGTGAGAATAAGATAACCGACTACGAGACCCTTCGAGATGGCCGTGCAAAACGACAGGATATCCGTATAGGCACGGGCAGATTCACAGAAACCGGCAGGAATCCTATGGACTTCAATCAATCATTCGATTGGTTCCGAGGACTTGACCATAGTGCACCCGATTATGCAGATTGCAGTAATCAGGGACAGATAGAAACTGACGCCCAATTTGAGGCGCAGGCTAATGCTAGTATTGCAGCTACTCTTATCGCTGATTCGCAGCTGGGCTGTATACAGAATGCTGAGCATGTGGCAGCGGCGGCGGCTGCTGCTGCTGTGAATTGTGGGTCGGGTTGTGGCACTTCGACGGCGCCATCCTATGTTTGTGGATCCACTTCTTCTTCTTCTGGAGGAGGAAGTGGTGGTGGATCTAGTAGTTGTGGTGGGGGTGGAGGAGGGGGCAGTAGCTGTGGTGGGGGAGGTAGCAGCTGCGGAGGGGGTGGAGGGAGTAGTTTTTGATTGATATCTGTATTTGGAATGCTGTCTATATGAATACCATACAAGCCTTCTATAGAACTTTAGGCTTCAGTCAAGTGGTACCTAGCATATGGGAGATGAAGCCTTCGATCTCCAGTCCATAGAGCTCTACTACAAACAAGCGATAATATACAGGTTCACTTTAGCGTGGTAGCTGACCGTTTGAATGATAACCAGTGTCATTCGAATCCCAGACATTAGCAGCCAGTTCTCACTCAAAGCGAGCCTCTATAGCATCTTCAGCTACCTTCCATTGGTGAAGCTACATAGCTAACAGATCCAACCCGCCAGCTGTGCAGGGCACATATTTTGAAGTAGTAAGTCTTACCTCACAGAAATCACCTATAATTCCTTCTGAGAAATGTATTCTTGCCATCATAATATTCCAATATAGTCTTCTATGTCTAGATAGAGGCTATTTATAAAGTCTTCCGAGACCCCCTACCCAAAGTTCACACAACCATAGCGGAGCAGTCTCCAATGTAATTCCGACCAGAAGACTGGCAGGTATCTAAGGCTCCGAGCTAGATATTACCAGTCCAGAAACCCTTCAACATCATAGCAAGCGCACTAAGCCCTGCACCATCCTGAGACACTTTAAATGGAGTCTGCGACATTGAGATTTACCAAACTGATATCCCTGGTTGGTGTCCGGTACCCTGTAATGTTAATTCATGAAGACAATTGATTGACTGAGCTATTAGTTATTTTTTACTGACCTACCCAATGCAACTCTGGTTCAATAGAGTGTGGTACACTAGTGTGGAATTACTGTGACCTGCTTACATGGAAATGTTGGTCCTTGTGTGGCTAAGGTTAGGCCATTCATGTTGGTAGCATATATATACTCTCGACTAGTAGTGTTGACTTAGTACTTTATGAAGCACACAAAGCCAAAAGAAAACAAGACGTTTATAATCATCAATCACTACAAATCAGCAAGCAGTATGCCTTCATCAATCGCCAACAAAGTCTTTATTGTCACTGGCAGTGCATCCGGAATGGGCCTTGCCACAGCGACCAAACTACTCGCCAAGGGTGCATTCCTAGGATTATGTGATATAAACGAAGAAGGTTTATCCATACACCTTCAATCGCTCAACGAAGACCAAAAAAGCAAAGTCATCACACATGTTGTGGATATTACAAACCGCCCAACCTTCGCCTCATTCCTACAATTAACGAAAGAGAAATTCGGCCGAATCGACGGAATAGCCAACTTCGCAGGCACAGCGGGCCATAGGCTGGGCCATCAAGAGATTCACGAGATAGACGAGAAGGAATACGACTTCGTCATGGACATTAACGTTAGAGGGGTTTTCAATATTCTCAGCGAAGTACTCAAACCGGGTTTATTACAGGAACCGGGTAGTATCGTCCATGCTGCAAGCATGTATTCCGAACGGGGGTTTGCAAAGGGTTCTATTTATAGTGCTAGTAAACATGCCTGTATTGGGTTGGTGAAGAGTGCTGCGATTGAGGCGGGTAAGAGGGGGATTCGAGTTAATGCTGTGTTGCCGTAAGTTCTCTCCCTCTCTCCCTCCCCCTCTCTCTTTTTGTGTGAAAGGGTTCTTTTTTCTAGATGCTGATGGGATGTGTTTAGTGGCCCAATTGATACTCCTATGCTTCGTGGGAATGTGGACAGCGGTGGTGAGGGCACTGCTCCTGATGTGTCGCTGGGTAGACTTGGTATGGCGTTGGAGGTTGCGGATGTCGTTGCGTTTCTTTTGAGTGATGAGGCTGGGTATGTTACGGGGGCTACTTGGGCGGTGGATGGTGGGGCGAACGCTTGAGCTGTCTTTATTCTTTGTTGAATACCTCCCTTAGTGGCTGTTTTTTCAGGTTGAAAATAAATGATGGGTAAAAGTTGTCAATGCATATGATTCTGCTTCGAGATTACTAACGATGATTCACACTAGATAAATAAAGGTTAGTTAGCTCCCGGCACTAATGCAAGTTGCTGACGCGGCTAATCCCTATAAGGCTAGTTCGATATCACCTACAACTTGAAACATGGGATCGATCCAAGCTTCAGAAACAACTACCACGTAAACTAACTGTGGCGGAGTGGTCACATTTGTCAGCCGTGAGAAATAACTTAAACAGCCAGCATAAGCATCTTGCAGCAACCAAGCCAGTAATCATCATACAGCTGACTCGTAATGGCACCAAGAACCACCATGATCCCCATGGCTCAGATGCCGCAACAAGCTGGCGTTTGGGCCCCCCAAGATGACTGGACAGGCATCATTGATCGAACAGAACGAAGGAAATTACAGAACCGGATTAATCAACGGTCATATCGTAAGCTGACCCATTGATCTCCATTTCATCTTACAACTTCCCGAGCAAATGAGCGATGGGTATGGGTGCAATGAGCTTACGTAAAAGGAAATCATAGGACTACGGCAGCTACGACGACACAAAGCTAATCAACTACCAGAAGAAACTAGCAGTGCAGTGATCGCCTCTCGACCTACTCACCACGGCAATGATGATGAAGCTTCGGACGAGTTTCAGTGCACACTGGGAGTGCACATCTACCCACTGATGCGCGATTTCGAAACGCTAGCCCTGGAAAGCTATTCAAAAAATTCTCCAAATCAGGACCACCTTCTGAGTCTACCAAAATACAACATCCAGCGTGCTATCATTGATAACACAGTCGCTATGGGCATGACCATGGAGTGGATGAATGACGATGACGCCGTATCCATCTTCAATATACTGGGCCCTGGGATCTCTGAGACCCACATTCCAGCAAGTCTCCGGCCAACAATAGTCCAGCGACGAATACCCCATCATCCGTGGCTGGATTTCTTCCCTTTTCCTAATATGCGGGATAATCTTATCGCCGTGCAGGATGAAATTGACGACGAGGAGTTGTGTCATGATCTGATGGCTTTCTGGGATACGCGTAATACGGGCCCTATGTTGTTGGTTTGGGGTCCGTCCTGGGTGCCGGGGAACTGGGAGATGACACCAGCTTTTGTGAAGAAGTGGGGTTTTTTATTAGGTGGCTGTGAGGAGTTGTTACAGAGTACGAATTCTTGGAGATTGAAGCGGGGAGAGCGGCCGTTAGCTATGAGACCAGTTCTCCAGGCTAGGATAATTGAGGAAATATAATCTTACTGCTTCTGCAGTTAATAACTTCTGTTTAAAACAAACAATATAGCGGGCTTCGAATCCACTTCGCTGTTTACATAAAGCCACGACCTGTACTTTGGTTTCTTGTCCGTAAGATTATAATTGAAACTCCATTAACGCATAAATCATCAGCGTAATCATAAATAAAACATCTCAGTTAGTGAACCAGATCGGGTAGAACTTACGGGCAGATCTTCGAACCGCAACTTGGAGCACATTACCATGGCGGTTCAAGTCGCTTTCAGTACGTGCCGAGCAATAAGAAGGAGAGGGCGGGCATACTTTCCAAAATGAAGGAGTATGTACCTACTCAGCTCTCAAATGGGATGCTGAAGTATAGACGCATTGAACTGCAAGCCTGACATGTTCACTCCACACACTATTCAGAAGGTAATAGTAGTAGTAGTAGTAGTATAGAGGCTATTTTTATATATACGAGTTACAATTTCCCCATAATGATTTACAACGAATTTTAGTGAACTGGTTAATTAGAAGATTCTATCTGCACTGTGTACAAAGGGTGCCAGTCGTCTACGTATATGGAGCATAGTTCGGGCGATGCTTAAATCTTGGGGTACCTGTTCGCGGAAGACAATCTAGTCCCGCCGTTTCCGATGTTCCCGCCGGTGCATATATAGTTGTCTTCTTTGGTGTATTGCGATTCCTGCTCCACCCATTCACGGCTGTAACTAGATTGAAAATACGTTCTATCTTATATGCTCAACTGATATAATCATTGTTACTCAAAAGGTTATCATGACGGAAGCAAGCACCCTCTCGAACCGAGCCGACGCCCAATGCCAGGCATATTCTAACATTGTCTGGGAAGTACTCGAAAACCTCTGGCACCCGCAAGACAATCCAAATGGAATTGCCAACCTCGGTGTGGCGGAGAATACCCTGATGCACGGTGAGCTACAAGACTTTGTGAGACGTAATACGAATATACGCCAACATGCCTTCACGTACGGCGACGGGAACTTCGGCAGCAAGCGACTAAGACGAGCTGTTGCGCAGTTCCTGAACGAGCGTCTACGACCAGTGTTACCACTCGAAGCTGAGCACATAATGGTGACAAACGGTGTTTCTCACGCAATCGAGCACTGCTCGTGGGCGTTGTGCAACAGAGGTGACGGTATCCTTCTCGGACGACCCTATTACAAGTCATTCATCGCCGATATCTCTCTTCGGCCGGAGGTCGAGGTTGTCACAGTGAGTTTTGGTGGGCATGACCCCCTCAGACCGGATTGTGTGAAGAGCTATGAAGAGGCAGTCCTGAGCGCTAGGAAACGCGGTGTCGTGGTGCGAGGACTCATCCTTTGTAACCCACATAATCCTTTAGGGCGTTGCTATCCCGAGGAGACAATTAAGGAGTTGATGAAGTTATGCCAACGCTACCGGATGCATTTCATTAGTGACGAGATATACGCTCTTTCCATGTGGGAAAATAAAGAGGAGATCAGGAACTCTCTACCAGTGCCTTTTGTTTCGGCCCTGGCGGTCCCAACTGATGGGCTAATTGACCCAGAACTCGTCCATGTTTTGTGGGGTATGAGTAAAGATTTTGGCGCCAATGGACTCCGAGTTGGGTACCTTATATCTCAACACAATCGCAATCTTGCTACAGCGTTACAATCCGTTGGGTTGTACTCTTATGTGTCCTCCATCTCGGACCATGTTGCCGCCGAGATTCTCGAGAATGTGGATTGGGTTGATAGGTATATCGCAAGAAACCGGCAAAAGCTGTCTGAATCTTTCAGCTTTGCAGTTCGGTTTCTGGGACAACAGGGAATCTCGTATACCCCCGGTGCCTATGCGGCGTTTTTCCTCTGGGTTGATTTGGGCAGAGCATATTGCGAGAGACACCCGGAGGCATCAACGTCAAGAGACTTAAGCACTACGATTAGCAAGCGGTTGTTGGAGGAGAAAGTATTCATTGCGAATGGAACGATCTTTGGATCCGAAAAGGAGGGGCTCTTTAGGATTGTATTTTCTCATCCTGTTGGATATCTTGAAGTGGGGCTCAAGAGGATGATGAAAGCGATTGAGCTTTAAGCCGATGTCCAATGATTCCAATATAAGCCCACTGGTTAGCTTACTCGAATGAAATAGGCACTGAAATTACCTGCTGTGTATATGGAACTGTACACTTCTCCCGATCCCTGGGGTAGCGTGCTAGCGGTTATTACTCAATCGCAATGGCCTACCCGAGGACATTCGTATTTTGCGTGAACATCCCAAGGTTTTCTGGTTGGAGTCACTCAAGTAACCGCGGCACGGGGAGATAAGCGGGAACGGCGGGATTTGCGGACCTAGACATCAGATTCGTGACCCCCAAGAATGGTAACCTGAAATTTCTACATGAAACTGAGCCATTTCTCCTGAAATGTAATCATTATGTTCATTTAGTAGTCTAGAAGGCATACGCACCGAGTTCAATGCATTATGACAGCCGAATTGAGAGGGCATAGAGAACGACAATAAAACAATACGCGAAACATCTCACCTCAACGGATACCCCTACGATTGTGGCGGAACTATACTTGCACATACTCCACAGCCTTTCCATATCAGGGTAGTAGATTGGTTCTAATCACCGAGCTTCAACCTCTTAAATGACGAACAGTCGCTCTACCACAACTGGCTTTCATCCTCTACGAGAACAATACCGTCTCAGCCATGCGATCAGAGCCCAAGTCGAGCCCAATTTTGCAGCTTCCCAGCATGTCCAAGCCTCCCGATGGCGGCTTCATGGCCTGGTGGCACGTCTTTCTATGCCACATGGTGTTTTTCAATACTTGGGGGCTTGCCAACAGCTATGGTGTGTTCCAGCAACACTATACCGAAACACTCGGGCATTCTGCTAGTGACATTGGATGGATCGGAGGCATTCAAATGTTCCTAATGCTCTTTGGGGGCGTCTTCTCAGGCCGTGCATCTGATGCCGGTTACTTTCGACACTGTTTCGTGACTGGGGTTATCATGCAAGTCTTCGGGCTATGTATGGCTTCTTTGTCGACTCGATACTATGAGATTCTGCTTAGCCAAGCTGTATGTGTTGGGATAGGTAGTGGTCTAGTCTTCACACCCGGTCTTTCAATCATGGGCTCCTACTTCCAAAAGTACCGCTCTGTTGCAGTAGGCCTGTCGGCAGCTGGTGCCGCAACAGGGGGGATGGTCTATCCAGCAACAACCAATGCGCTGCTTAATCATTCAAACATTGGATTTCCTTGGACAATGCGCATTCTCGCATTAATAATGCTAGTCACGCACATCCCATCCGTGGTAGGATATCGGCCGTATCTACCACCGCGCTCAACAGGCCCCGTCGTTGAATGGAGTGCATTTCGCGAGTGGCCATTTGTGTTCTTCACGACTAGCATGTTCCTTAATTTCTGGGGTCTGTACATGGCTTTCTATTATCTGGGGATATTTGCCCGTGAGCAAATTCATCTCAAAGAGTCAATTAACCTCCTAGTCGTCTTAAACGGCGTCGGTGTCCTCGGGCGGAGTTCTCCCTGTTTCATTGGCGAACGCTTTACGGGTATTGTCAACATAACCATCTTCTGCTCCGCCATTAGTGCTATCTGCGTATACTGCTGGGTTGCTATTGGTGATTTGCCGGGGTTATATGCATGGGCAGTTGTATACGGAATCTTTGCCGGGGCTACCCAAGCCCTGCTCCCGGCGCTGGCGACTCGGCAAACGAAAGATATTACCAAGGTCGGCACAAGGACAGGCATGGTTTTGACTATAGTTAGCTTCTCGTGTCTAACAGCCCCAGCAATTCAGGGTGCTCTTATTCAAGCTTGTGGGGGAGATTATCTGGGTGCTCAGGCTTTTTCTGCTAGCTCTATTGTCCTGGGGATGATGTTTTTGTGGCTCTATCGGTGGTGTCAAGTTGGTTTGAAACTCGATGTGAAAGTCTAAGACCGGGAATACATATTCTAGGCGTTGTGGATTGCAGGGCACAGGTGCATAAAGTCATCATCTTGCAAGTGGCTTCTTGTCGGGGTCAGTGTGGTCTTAAAACCCAACCCACTGTGCTTCATAAGGGTTGGAGCAAAGGCAAGGATGGCCTGAAATACACGTATCGGAAGGTTGTTGAGGTGTCTTAACTTAAATTGTATAGATTCCTCTCATTGTAAGGTATCTACTAGATAGAAAGAAAATAAAGATTAGGATTTCCAGACAGGGCTTACTAGAATAATCAGACAGTTGACCAAAAAGCCAGAGGCCAACACGTTTACAGATATAAGTTACACCCAACAAGTGCTAATGCCCGACAGACTCTCCCTCGATACCACGGTATCAAGTAATGGTTAGCATTCTAAAGTAATCGAAGATAAAACGAGACGGCAGCCTGCCTTAATATCATTATGGAACAAAACAGATAGTTACAGTGACGACTGCGTTCATACTAGTCTAAATAGATCCTAGCCAAGCACCCGTGGCGTTTAAATATTACTATCCTATTGCCCGGCTCAAAGCTGGAGAATGCTTATTGCAACAGTAAACGAAGCTCTGTTCATAGTACAGAGCTAATGGACGAAACAGCAGCACCACACCTGCACCTACCCATCCCTCAGTCATAAACCCCTTCCATTATAGAGCCAATTCTCTCTCTTCCTTCATAGGTACCAAGTCACAAACGAGCTCCTGGCCCGGTACTTGGGCGCAAAATAGTCTGTTGAGTCATGCTTGCAACCAAATGACCGTCCTCATTCCAAATCCTCCCCTCACTAAAGGCTCTAGCATTTCCTGCAGCAAGGGATTTCTGTTCTGCCAAATGCCAATTCTCAAGATTCAGGCCATGAACAAATACACGAAGCGAAAACTCCAAGGTCGCGCAGGCGCTCGCTTGCCGTAAACCATATCCGTAGTGGATTGCCGGAATATATGCTAAACCCTTGTCTGCATAGAATGCCAGAGCCGATATCTGTTCCGCCTCGTTGTCGAGCAGCTCTGGTACCCGGAACATTTCCTTGGTGATTGCTGACGGAGCAGGTGGAGGGCTGTTGATTCTAGTATTTTGCTTTTGGCTTTCCGCACTCGGACCGTCGTCAAGAATGGGCCGCATGTCGATAAATTGCTCGATATCTCTATAAAGATCGCAATTGTTTGAGGCGTCGGGTGGAGGAGTAGAGTACTTTTCTCTTAATGTGCTGGACGGGGAGTCGGTCTCAGGAGGGATAGAATAGGTTACGACCGAGTAGGGTTCTTCGATATGAAAATCTGCCAAAGCTACCAAACATAGCCTATTAGAGCCACCATCTGCTGCTTGGGATACCCGAATCTGACGAGTTTGAAAACTCTTGGAATCCCTTATACTCTCGACGTGGCAGAAGAGCTTTCGGTCAGTTGTGGCAGGGCGGATAAAATGGCCACAGAGTGAGTATAAGTGATACGTATGGTTAACAGTTTGATAGGCTGCATTCACTGCAACCGCAATGGTATTTCCTCCAAAAGCATATTCCGAGAGAGACCCCAATCGTGTCGGGTTCTCCACCGAGCAGAAATGACCAGGACGCAGCGGTTCAACTGCGATTTGTTGTTTCAAACTCATTCTGCCCTTTTGGTCAAGTTTGAATGAAAAAGTTGGGCTAGTGGAGTGGCCTCCTAGGACGACTGCTCAATATGGGTGTGGATCTGTACTAATGTAGGTACTTTTGTTTTATTTATATGTACATAGTGTCTCGGTACTCTCGGTAAATGAGCGGATTAACAGTTCCTACGGGCTTCCGCTTTTCCCGCAGTTCCCGAAGACCTTCTCTCCCTGTGCATTACACAGACCGACTACCGGGTACGACTATATACACCATGGTGGATCTAGAGCAATCGTCATCTCTAAATTCCGGGCTTTCACGCAAACGACGTCGTGCGAAGGTTGCCTGCGAGTCATGCCGCACGCGCAAGCGGAAATGTGATGGCCAGGAGCCGTGCGGGACATGTGTACAGCTCGAGTATGATTGTCACTATTGTCTGACGTTAAAAGCGCCTAAGAGGACACCTGAGACCCCCAGGGATGGACAGGCTAGTACAGATGCCGTAGAGCCCCCGGGAACTGGTCAAAATCCGGGTGCTGATACTAGCAATACGGCGGAGCCTCCATATCTGCTGAACCTTGAAAATCACGCTCGGTATAAGCTTACTTAATTACACTAAGGAGGGATATGGGAAAGAGAACGAGTGCTAATGCTTTTTTTTTTCAGAATATATGAGAATGAATCACAAGCAACATATCCATTGTTTGTCCATAGTCAAGCCGAGCCCAGCAGCTGTGCATGTCTCTCCTTACTTTACCTTATGATGGAACAACTCCGGGCCAAAGATCGAATCGCCGTGCCAGGGGACTTGGTCCTGCTCAGAAACTGCGTCAGCTCCTCGAAGCAGGTCTTGTATTGTCAGGAGTGTCCCCGCCGTTATTTGTCCATCGTTCAAAATGGCACCATGCTCGGCGTGCTATGTATGTGCATCGCGGCATGTTATGCACGAGCTCTCGAAACAATCGATGCAGAAACGAAACGAGCATCCGATGCCAACGAACGGAAGCAACTCTGCATCTCAACCTCAAGCCCCGAAGCACTACACGATCCTTCTTCGTTAGGGAACGTCTTATCGTCCTTTTCGGTAGATATCGCCGCTTCGGAATGGGCAAGTATCATGCGCAGAACTGTAAAAGTGGAGATTTTCGGTAGTGAGTCTAGTAAGGAGAACTCTTTTATGTCCTTCATCGACACCTTACAAGAGCGTCAGAGGGGCTGGCATAAGACCCCCCCAGCTCCTGACTGTCCCTCTACGTACCGATCCCCATGTGATATGAATGGCCCGGAACCGGTGTGTCTTGTTATTGTCAATGAAGCGAAGAAGCTCGTTAATAGCTTCAAGTTCTGATACGCCATCCTCCTGCATTATATACTATTACTTGAATCAAGAGCTCAGAAATTCACAGATCAGAATTCTATTACACGATCACTTATTCAAGGCAAGTTCTGTAACATCGTAGTTGGGCTCAACTTCTCGAATGTATTACTAAGTAGTTCATGAGACCGTAACCCGATACTAGAGTATTACAACTCAGTACTTCCCGAGTTTTACGCACTAATACAACTAGAACGTGAGGATCTGTGGAATTGACGCAAAAAATGACAGCTATAGAGGTCATAAACAACCGCATTTCCGCGCGCAACTCCTAGCGGCGGACCGCCGCTTTAATATTTCACCACATATTTCACACCACTATTCTGCACCCAGCAAACTTGTTTTTACGTTACTGGGATAGCTGCTCTGTTCACCCTCAGTGGACATTCTATCCATTTCAACTACACGATCAAAGCGACAGCGAAAAATGGCCTCCCCTACGACCAACCCTAACTCCCTTCCAATTTGCACTAGCCGACCCAGGCGCTATATAAAATATCACTTGTACTCACTTCATCCTTTTCCCCTTTATACCATCCCATCCCATCTTCCTCTTGTCAACTCGTCCTTCTCTATTCCCTTTTTGACGTGAATCAAAACACAGCCCCCTCTCCCTAATATGATCCGAACGTTTTGACGGCACCGCCTCCTCTGGCCCCCTGCTCAGCCTGGTGAGTGCCAGTACTGGATCGACCCCATTCTCTGCGCAGAGGCTTGAGCCAGATTGGAACAATTCTGCAGTCTTGGATGGCTCCCTCCAAACTTCAAGCCTAAGACCCAAGAAGGTCTTGCTATTATCGAAATATACCAGTAATAAGCAGCAAGAGCCTTGGCTCTGTCAACCACAGTCCGGGAGCCTGAGGGAGGAGAAAATTCGCCAGGCAGGAAGATTAGATAGGGAAAATATTAGGAGAGGCGGGAAAATTAGGGAGAAGAAATATTAGCTAGGTTTGGAAATTCAAGAATATGGAATATTAGATCCTAATATTGCCCTCGCCGCATGTTTAATGAAGAACACCCAGTCTTCTCGACACAAACCCCAACGCTCCAAAGACCGCAGTAACTCCCGTAAACACAATAAGACTCCCAAAATTTGTTCCATACCCCAGAGACCCGGGCTTCGCGATAAACGGCCATTCCGCGTTGATCAGAAGTTCGCTAATGGGGCCACATGCGATCGAGCCCACACCGCGGCCAGCGGTCAAGAGGCCCAAAATAATCCCCGTGGGAGCATTTTGCTCCGTCTCCTTGACTGCTTGTACAATCCCAGGCCAGGTTGCACTAGCACTGCCAGCGAAGATCCCGTATACGATGGCGAACAGTAATAGGGGTGATAGCGAGACTGACATGCCCCAGATTGCGAAGACGGCGAGGACGGTGAAGACGGTAGCTAAGAAGATGACGTTTGCGACATGCCACCGGTCAACCAGGAAGCCCATTAAGATGAATCCTATTGTTGTGCCCGCGTTCATGAGTGTTAGGGGAGCAGTGATGCCGAATCCGGATTCCCCGACCACGAGGCGTGAATAGGTGGGAAGATATAAGGTCGGGGCAAAATATCCCAGACTTTGTACAATGCTACCAAGCTGGAAGATAAGGAAAGGTCGCGACCACATGAATTGAAAGCTTATTATTTGCGGTCGTGGAACTTGTGCAGCGGAAACAGGAGTTCTCGGCTTCACAAATGGCAGGAAGGGGCACACTAGAAGAACCATGATCACGGCCCAGGCGCAAACAGTAGTCCGGTAAGAGTATCGAGAAAGTGCGGCACTGACAATAAATGGGAATATGATCCCTGCAAGACCGCTTCCGGCCTTGTATTTCATGAGCTTCTCTTTGCGTTCGAAGGGAAGGAAATAAACTTACCCAGCATATCCCATATGCGAGACCTTTTCGGCGCACAAACCATTCGTCTATATATATCAGGACGGGGTAATATAGTGTGCATGCACCAATCGGGTAAATAATCCCCTGGGTCGCCAATAACTGCCACACCGTGGTGGCGAACGCGGATGATAGGATGCCAACAACTGCAATCACTAGACCGGCCACACTGCTTATACGGCAAAGACCTGGCCAGCGCTGCAGTATAAAAAGGCTAAAAGGTGAAGCAAGATACAGGATTCCCTAGCAAGAGTCAGGATATCTAACAATCATTTGCCCCAATCCAGCTACTGACCATAGAGCACGATCCTACCAGGGACACGCGAGATGCATATTGAGCAAATGGTTCAGTGGTGGTATAATAATCTTGGAACACACCAAATGAAAAGGGGAATCCTTGGGGGGGGCGAGTTAGCTATTTTTACGTTCAAATAACCTAAACAACACTCAGAAATCTGAGAACTCACCCCAGACCGTCATCTCCAGGAGGCAAGCCCCCACTAGACATAACCATGCATCCTTGCCCTTGTCTACTGGGGGCAAAGAGAATCCTCGCAGCGCAGTGGTTTGGTCGTCATCCCCCTGGTCCTGTACATTGTCTCTGAACTGAACTGGCTGCAGCTCGTAGCGGACGACTGGTTCATCCATTATGATATGTCGAGTGGAGCGGATAGTGTGCGACGGTCGTTAGTTGAACACAGGTCTGGAAAGAAGGTCGAAGTTGGGTTTGAGTGAATTTATTAATATTTGTCGGGTGTGAAGTCGAGACCCCCGCTATAGTCGTCCGTACCAAGATCGGGGTCACCTATCCGATATGAGCGGGTCGAAACGCGGTTGTTCCGATGCTCTCCAGCTGGACTCGGTATCAACACCCGACAAGGTGTTGATGTGTCTATATTAATATATGGTGTGCACTTGCAATCCCTGTTGTCCCATGTCCTCGTTTTATGTTCGAAATCTCTGATGGCAACCCCTACAATGTAAGCCTGCTATCTCAAATAGCTATATTGCAGTGTATCTTAGGGTAAAACAAAATAGTAGAGACCGTAGCTATGGCAAATCGAACCAACATTCAAAAAGATATAGAGAAGAGGTGTGATATAACAGCGAAATACATGGTCTCAAACTTGACTGCCAACTTTCGCGCCGTTTCTTGACGTAAAGTTACGCAATATGTCGTTTTCCGTCACTTCATCTTCCCACATCTTCCTAGGCACGTCAAAAGTAGACGTGATACGTCCGTACGCCATGCCCCCGAGCTGCCCCAGAGGCCGTAACTTGTCAAGGTAAATGTGACTGTAATTCTCGTTGGCAGCATCCTCTCGAATCCAGAATCGAGAAGCTTCTATGAATACCACTGCAGTCGGCGCCATGCCAGGCTTGGCGTATTCAGGAAACTCCTTGATATCCACAACCTTTCCTTCTATAGAAAAGACAGATTCCTGGACTCGTGACGGACTTACTGTTGTGCTAGGAGCTTCATGAAGACCAGATAATTCCCACTCTGACACACCATATGGGGCATCGATAGAGGTAGCGTTCACTGCTTCAATCATGCTCTCGGACACCGTATTTATCACACATTCACCACTCTGCTTCAGATTGCAAAGTGTATCTTTTCCTTGCCCAGACTTCGGGCCAATACCCACGATAAATAGAGGTGGGTCATGGTCGACAACCTGAAAATAGCTAAACGGGGCCAGATTCTTGGTCTTGCCGTCACCAGATTGAGTACTGATAAAGCCGATTGGACGAGGTGCGATACCCGAGATCAAAAGATGATAGTTATCAGTCTTTTGTCTATTTGGGGCGTAAGGGTCAATTTCCTTATGCGCTTGATCTGTTCCAGGTGACTTCATCCGAACGCCTTGGCCATACTCCCAGGGTGAATTTGGCGACTTGGTGACTTCAATAGGCGTATCGGAATGGTCGAATTCGGGACGACGAGCGATTTCCTCGTCGTGTTTCCGTAATCTCTCGGCCCTATTAATCACTCTAGCGGCAATAGGCCCAGTTGTGGATATCGTTCTGCTTTGCAGCCAACAACTGAGGCGGAACTTCGGACCCTTGGACCATATTCTATGCAACTGGTCAGACCAGTACTGGAGAGAGTTTCACGAATAAAAACCAGTGCTTGCCTTGCTTGGGTTGCCATTGTACGACTCGCATAAGGAAAGGTGGAGTAGAAAGAATAGAATGCAATGCGGACTTATAAGAACAGCTCTGGTGTGGGTATTCGGGTCGGTAGCCGGACGTCGATTGAAGAATATCGGAGGACCAACCCGACGACCCTCTCATATCAGTGGACTAGCTCAGGTTGCCCTCTTCTCCTGAATAGTCTTCTGGAAGGCCCGCCTAACAGAGTCAAACCCTGATATCTTGATTTGTAAGCCAGTCGGCTAGCTGGCCGATCTGGCTGAATAGGCAATTCGCCCTGCGCACGCGATACTACCTCATTCGATTCGACTGGCAAATCTAGCTGCTGAACTAGCTGGAGACCCTCTTCAACCGTTAGGTCATCTTTGTAGGGAATCTTCCTAGTTAGTCCATTGCGCTTCTTTACCACCCTTTCGTTTGCTGCGCGTAGATTCGCATTATGTTGCGCTAGTAGTGCAGTGTTTGTAGCGCTACAGAGTAGCCCTTAACGATCTGATCTATTATGGTTTTTGATGGGCTCGGGGGGGCTATTTCGCCTTTGTTTTAGTAGTTCCTTAAGCATTGAAACTTGCTTTTGGAGCTGGGTCGATGGAGGAGAAGCTGTAGCGGTGGGGCTTTGGCTTTGGGCCCTGTAACCCAAAACAGTTGACTTTTGGCTGCGGGCAGGGAGCTATTGACGCGGATTCCACTCTGGACGTACGTCCCACAGCTCCAGGTCTACCAAGGCCTTCAATCTGTCAACTGGCGGCCACTATGGCTGAGTAACCATATGGGCTCCATGTCTTTTGACGATGGTCCATATGGGACACTAGCCTTTTGATCTAAATCTTCTATCACTGCTCTCATGGTCGTAGCTCGCAGTTACAGTCCCATTGGCCAGCTGGGCCTGGTGTCAACAGCGACATAACTCAATGTGATTCACACCTACTCGTCCTCCATAATGTGTGCAGGAACAAAGCTTAGCTAAATACGTTCAGGATAACTTGGTTATCTCCTGTTGTGCGTGGCTGCTCGCGGCAGTTCATTGCCTGGTGAACTGGGTGATTGTCGACAACTACCGCAACTTGGGGTGGCAAGACGCCCTGCGGGCACCAACGGTGACTGAATGTCGTGCTAGGGGTATTGATATTCTGGATATGCCAAAGGTGTCAGAGGTCTTGTCTGTTCAACCATCATATTGATGGGTTGCTTGCACCCCAATTTGAGACCAAGCATTTAGCGGTTGAAACCCGTATTCTGCGTCGGTTAATGACCGCATCATGCTACGAGGGATTATCAGGATCATCTACCAGATATGCAGCTGCAAAGTGTTCCAGATATTCTGAGAAATGCCAATGGGCCGTTGGTCTAGGTAAAAGCTTGGCTACTGCACCATTCGACTCGTGTGGTGAGACACCCGAGCAACTTAGGCATTTCTCTTGTTGGCTGAGCGAACTGCAGGCCCAAAGCCAGGCTGGGCATTATTTGCACCGTATTGCCCTTGGTGGAACGAAAAGTAGGGCCAACTTATGTGATACCACATATCCGGTAGAAAGTTCGACGGGTGAGGTGAAATACCCGGGTTATTTATAAATGGTGGACTAACTCAATTCCGCCGCTTGTGGTTTACCATCTCTCTAATTGTACTTAGGGTCGGCTCCCACTCAATATGTGGTCATCTGACAGCTACGGGGATTCTGTAATTCTGCAACAGGGAGAAAAGACTACGAAGGCATTTTCTTCACGTACTTGGCCTGCCTCCGAAATATTGATAGATCGTAGATCAGATGAACTCACTTAAACTGGAGAAGCTAGTAATATTACCTATTGCTCCGTCAAAAATAGAAAATCCTCTAATGCCGTAATCCTTTTTCTCCTTGGAAAGAACCGTCGAATGTTACAAGCACATCCAGGCCTATCCATACCTCATTTCCGTTTTTGAGATAGTACCTGATATCCAGTCAGAATAGAATACATATTATCGGACCTTCATCCCGGTGATTTCGTATGTTTCGCTCATTTTGCTGGTTTATACTCGAACACGACCACGACCACGCCGAAATCTGCTGCGGTTAGGTATATTGGTGAGAGAAAACCAGATTCGAGAGATAGGTGAACATCAACCCCAATTATAGACTCGCGATTCCATAAACTCAGCCATGTGCCGGCTTTCGAATTAGACTCGAACCAATTATGTACTAAGTAGGAACAATAACGTAACCGGTAAGCGACCCGCCATTGTAAGCGGGCGACGCAGCTCTGTATTCCATTTATACATATCAGCCCTTTGTTGCTACTTTGAATATAGTATCTAACGTCATCATCTACAACCTCTTGAATATATTTGCTTTTCACGAGTTGGATACCGCGTAATCACATGACCATGATAGGTTATATGGAGTAACTTATATCATCAACTGGAAAGACTGCTATATCTGGCAATTATACAAATTGCCAAGACATAAACCAAGCATCATTGGTCTAGTGGTAGAATTCATCGTTGCCATCGATGAGGCCCGTGTTCGATTCACGGATGATGCACTTTGTTTTTTTTTTTTTCGTTTTGTTCTTTTCCCCTACATACTTCGTTACATGTCCTTTTTCACTATGTATTTTAGTCTATTTTGTCTTCAGACCATATATGAGGCAAGGCAAAGCTAAATCCTATCCCTTTGGTGGAAGACTTTATATCATGATATCAAAACAATATATATTCCTCGCAAAATCTGCCAACGTATATGCAATCGCGTCTAAAACACTTGGATAAATCTTTTGAGATTTTTATATATGCTGACACAAAAACAACAATTTTCAAGATAACAGACCTCATATTATCTCTTGCTTAACCCGGATTATACAGACTCGAGGCTGTTTGTTATGGACTTATGGTCCGTCACGCTATCAGCCTTTGAGGCTGCTGCACCTCGCGATCTTCGGGTGTGTTTAGGCGCATCATAATTGTCGATCTTAATAGCCATCGAGGCCCCACAGTTTGTCTTCATTCGCTTAGATATCATCGGTGGAGGTTCCAGATGGACGATACTAGTGGCTGACAGTAATATTGAGTGGAAAGCTGAAGGTGGGATCAGCGATGTGCTGGCAGCCACTAACAAATATCCACCACGCATTGGATTAAGTGATCAAAGCAGCTCCACAAAACGAGGGGAAACCATCGATAACGTGAGTTGGGCCTGATGGAGGACGAATGGTCTTCTATAAAGGTACCCTCAGCCATTTTCACTTTTTGTTATTTCACAACTGACGAAATAGTAACAAGTTGTCGGAAAGAATCCAAACAGAAAACCCCCCATTGAGAAAACGGATGAAATCATCTACCGAATAGCGCAATGTCTGAAAACGATGTAAAAGTCGGAGACACATGGATGACCGTTCTCCAGGATGGTGGGGACGATCCGGAGTTGGATATTATCTTCATCCACGGCCTTCAAGGACACCCTGAGTCAACCTGGACATACACCAAAACAACTGGAAGGCTGTGGAGTAAGAAAACGCAAACTGTATTCTGGCCTAAGGCGCTTCTCGCACAGCATGATTCGTGTAAATCCGCCCGCATCATGACCTATGGATACAATTCCCACGCCTACGGATTTAAGACAAAAGTTGACTTCTGCAATATCCAAGGACTGGCAGAGTCCTTGCGTAATGCAGTAGCTGCGCTCCGGACGAAGTGTCAACACCGTCCGCTGATGTTCATTGTTCATTCCCTCGGGGGTTTGCTTGTGAAAGAGGTAAGAGATGATCGAAAGAGGTAAAATAGCGACTGAAATGAGGGCCTTGTACTGAATCATGCTTCGATAGGTTTTGAACCAGTGCCTGAATACCAAGGTAGAGGCTCACCACGCCATAATTGAATCTGCTTTTGCGATCGTGTTCTTCGGGACACCTCACCAAGGAAGTCAGCTCGCCAACTATGGGAATGTGATAGGCAATGTTCTTTCATTTATGGGTGCAGAGTACAATGGAAGCATCATTCAGGCGCTGACTGGCAGCGATGGGATGTTAACTAAGCTTAATGGTGACTTTGAAAAAACTGTCGATTGGATGATTGAACACAACGGGTTTGAAACGAGTACGTTTCAAGAGAGCCAGAAAGTCAATAAATTCGCGGGAAAGGTAGGCCTGGATGATAAGTGATTCACAAACTGGCACTGATTCCCTTCATTTGGCTAGGTTGTCGAGGACGAGTCGTCTAAAGGTGGTAGAAACGACTGCAATGACCACATCAGCGCAGATCATATGAACATGTGCAAATTCCCCAGCATTGATGACTCCGAATATAAAAAGGTCGCTGCGGAAATTTCACGTCATATTGATCGAGTCAAGGGCCAACTTGATCAAGAGAGCAATGGTGAGTGTCAACTGTGATCTTCCATCAGCTGCATGAGAATGTGTAAAGTCTAAAATTTGCTTAGGTCTTCTCCTAAGCTTGGAGGAGTTCGGAAAATTCGCGAGTCAACGAAAAGAAGAGATTGTGAATTCAACCAAAGGGACTCTTGAGTGGCTATATGAGGCTGAAGCGCACAAAAGCGGGACGGATTCGATTAATGCCCCAGGAATAACATCACTCAAGAAATGGCTCCAGGGCAAAGAACAAAACAGCATTTTCTGGATTACAGGAAAACCTGGCTCTGGCAAGTCTACTGCAACGAAACATGTTCTTGATGAGCCAAAGACTCGGGAGCACCTCGGCGAGCATCCAACGCCAGAGGAGATTTCTGATAGCAGTGAAAGGGAATGGGTCATTCTCGAGGCTTTCATTACGAACCGAGGAAGCGAGGAACAGAAGTTGTGGAAGCCAATGCTAGGTGGAATCCTCTACCAGCTGCTTAAAAAACGACCCGCCCTCATCCGTGGTGTCATTCGCCATGCTCGAAAGTCGGAGAGCGAAAATATCGGGCTGAAGGTTCGCGAATGGGGCCAAAAGGATTTTGAAAACGCGTTGAGATACTGCAAGTTCCAGGTTCAAACTCCATTCCGTGCATTGATCGTGCTTGACGGGCTTGATGAGCTCAAGGATCCAGCAAGTGCGACTTCTGCAATTGACTTCCTAAAGGAGCTCACACGGCCTTCCCATGCGTCCTGTGACAACACTGTGAAAGTATGTGTTTCAAGTAGATCCGAACAGGGCATGCGCGATCTGCTCGCCGATTGCTGGCGTTTAGAAATTCATGAGAATACGAAAGACGACATCTGGCGGTATGCCTTGGCCCGCCTTTGCCAAAATCCAAGGTTCCGTGACCAGTGTACGACCTCAATACAGGATCGACTCAAAGCCGTGCTGGCCTATATACGTGACAACGCTGATGGTGTCTTTCTGTGGGCAAGTTCTATTGTTGCAGAGGTTGACATAGCCTTGACACGGCGTGAACCTTTGGATAGCCTCCTTGGCCTGGTGAAAGGTTTGCCAACACAGATGGATGAGTTGTATATCTACATGCTCAAGAGAATTGACCCTGAATTACGCCAAAGAGCCTACATCATGCTGGAAGTTGTTCTTCGAGCTCGGAGACCAATGGCTGTCTTGGAGTTATTTCTAATAGTTCATGTGGCAGAACGTTATATCGATGAAAAATCCAATCTTTGGTCGGATAGCTCGAGTGTCGATCACCTCGCAGCAAGAGATTTCCTCGATCCTTGTCGGCTTCAAGGTCAGCTAATCGATTGCTGTAAATGCTTCTTGGAGGTAGTGCCATACAACAAGTCGATTGGCTATGACTATTCCACCCCTCACGAAGAGTCGAACCTCATAGGCATGATGGGCGATGCGATTTCTACCCACTCAAAGACATTGGCGGGTCCTATTGGGTTCGTTGAAGAAGCAGAGGTGTCAGATACGGAAGATTCAACAGAATTTGCTAGTAAAGTGCAATTCAGGGATCGAATCGACCCTAGCAAAGATGTGGTGCAATTAGTACACCGATCCGCCAAGGATTTCCTTGTCGGAAATAAGCTGCTGGATGTACTTTTTGAGACCCCCGAATACAAGCCAAAGGGCAACGGAGACACTTATGTTCTTGCGTTCGCCAAGGCTTGGCTCCAGCTGCCAAAGAGCAAGCAAGAAGAGCTGCGATTCCCGTTCGACGCTATGGAAGAGGTCGCTTTCCATGCATCCCAGGTGGAGAACACATTACAATCCACAGAGCTTGATACTGCCTTTTCGATTCTCGATGATCTTGACCAGCAGTTGACTGACATCTCAGGTGAAAACTGGCCCGCCTGTTGGTATTCTCGCTTTATTGGCAAGTATATCCAAGACTGGCATTTCAACTTCCCGGCCTTTGCGGTAGCAATGAACATGAAAGGATACATCACGCATCTAATTGGGAATGCCAGAGATGATGGCTTGTTAAAAGAGTTTCTAAACCCACAACCTGGTCGGCCCTTACTGCACTTCACAGTCTATCTCGAGCACCAGGCACCGAAGCCGACTATGACAAAGTTTCTGCTAGAGCAGGGCGCTGATGTCAATGCAAAATACGAGGAGAAAACAGCACTAGAGAGCATGATACTCCATGAGTGTCAAGCCAATGGTGATCCTCATTTGACGATTCTCCGCCATCTGATTGATAGTGGAGCAGATCCCAACACCTACTACCGCCCGCACTGGGCTTACACAAATATTTGGTATCCTTTGTTGCACATCTTTGCTCATTTGGATTTTGTAATCGATTTAAAACCTCGGAACGACTTTTTACATTTCATGGCACAGAAGGGGGCCGATTTGAATGCAGTGGATGTAGCTGGCCGAACCTTAACCGAGGTTTTGTATTGGGAAAACAAAACAATCCCACAAAAAGAATGGAAGTTTCTATTCCTGAAGGGAGCACGAATTACGAAATCCATGATCAGTATTAACTTCAATCGTGTCTGGGACTGGTTCCCAGTTGACGACGCACCGGAAAGCCAAGCGTGGGCACTGCAGCCTGCCCCTAATACTGCCACATTGACATTGGGAAATAGCGAGCAGCGGAGCCCGACAGAGGAGGATGACAGTGAAGGAATGATTTCACTCAGAAAGAACGAATATGCCGTGTTGCTTCCAGAGCAAACCAGTTCTGGGCTTGATATCAGTCTCGCTACTCGTGGAACTAGAGATTCTACCGAAGCATGGTCTTACATGACTACCCCTATGACTGAAGAGAAGCGAAGGCTGCAGGGTCTTTGTGATGGTGACAGCCCCCATAACGCTTATAAGGTGCTACAGAAGACCGAGTTCCGACAATTGGAGTGGTACACAGAAGAGGCTGCAGAAGCAGCAGTTCAGATGTGCCCTGATTGGTTTCGGACTGCGGCGGTTTAGGTTGTTCTGTTGCGATTAACTGGCAAGTGATGTTTATGTATAGTTGCGAGGTTAAATAGGGTTTTCCGATGTAAAACACCAGCCCGAGTCCACGGACTACAGAGACGATGTCGATGAAAAACTAAAGGTAAGGTGAGATGGCGAGATAGCAACACTGCAAAATGTTCCACTAAATTAGAAGGGGACACTAAAGTTCTGGCTATGAGAATGGTTATAAAGACACCGCCAGTGGTAATTGCGTAGATAGCCAAGGCGTCCGTTTTGCAGAGCTGGGGTTCAGCTTACTGCGGTTATAGTTCACTAATATAGAAGAATATACTCCAGGCTCGAGATCCTATACCCCATATAAAGTCCCTATAATTGACTTAGCATTTGAAAGTGGGCTATCTAACCAGCGTCCCTCTCATCTTTAAGGATTTTCTTTAATATACATCCAACTAAGCTAGCCACAGCCACCATGACCCCGAAGTTACCATAGATAAAGAAGTGCTACTTAGAAAGTGCTCGCACAAAGTCATAACAGTATTCTAGACAAAAGAGGACTACGTGTTTACCACCATGGAACTAATGCCACCTGTACGTACGCAAAGGAAACAGGTGGCTGTCGGTGAGATCCATGTAGAAGACATTTTAGCCCGTTGTCTGCTCTGTTTAGACTAACGATTTGATGATCTTAGGATATTCCAAAGAGAAACACTTGGATGTTACCTATAACGAAATTCAGCCAGATCTATCAGGAAAGTGCTAATTTCATCTCGGTTGCCCCTCGTCAGGCCAAAAGAGCAAGATACGTCTTGTCTCTTCTGCAAGCGAGTTTGTCGAGCACATACACGAGACGAAGAATTGCAACTACTTCGACATGAAAACGATTTATGATAAACTTGCGAATCACCTTTGGATGGATTTAATTGAGGCAGGGGCATTCAAACAAGGGTACACAACTTCATAAATTCTGTCAATATTCGCTGTGTATTATATGGCAATGACAGACTTCAATGCAGTGTTAGATACCAATGTGAGATTGCCTCAAGGAAGTGATTAGATTTCCCAAATCCGTACCTTAGCAGCGTTAGGCGAGAGTATATGCAGCAGTCAGATGCGAGTTGGACATATTAATCGCAGTCAATTGGAAAAATTAACATCGCTGGGAGCGGACAAACGGACACTCATAAACATGTAAGGGAGGAAGTAGGTCACAAGCTATAAGCTCTATTCACAATGGTATCATCACATCTGTAGAGGGTGGATTGATGTCATTGGCTCATCAGGTAAACTGTTGAATGACGGTCCCCATGAGCTCTTTTAGACTAGGCAAACTGCATCTGCAGTAATGATTAAAACCGCTAAAATATCAAACACGCAATTCGCTAAAAACACACAAGTCCATGCCGAACGAATACCCTCCTCGTTGATTACCAGTGGCAAATGCCTCCTTCACTATCGTCTGCTGCCCAGGTCCCTGACAACCCGACAACTTGTAGATGGCCGTCGGGATGTTCGCCGACTTTGCTCAGGGCTGCAAAGCTGGCTTCGGTGGGTGCATTACTCAGAAGACGCCGAGCCCACGCATCGATGGCTGGCTCACCAGTCTCATCTCGTGCCTGTTTGAGGAAGGGAATCAGGGCGGTACCTCCCGTTCCTCGTAGCTTCTTATTCTTTCCATCGCCGATGCGAGTGTTCGCTAAGTTTGTCGTAGAAGCATGCCTGCATGGACTGGACGACCGGGGTGCCCGGCCCTTGGCATCGCGGGATGGAATGATGATGTAGCGGGACACCATCTGGATGTGCTTGTCCCGCAAGGTTCGCAGCATAGAAAGACAAGCGTCATATGCAATGCATAATGCTTTGTCCGAGCGACGAGCCTCCACATACTCCCGAATATTGGCCACTGCGGATACATGTTCCAGGAAACGACGGTGAGGCCCTGGCATATACGACCGCATCTCGTGGATGAATCCGTGGCGGGGTGCTCCCGTAACTCCTTCTTTGTCATCTTTGTCGGTTTCAGAACGGGTTTCCCCAGTGGGTCGGTGCTCTACACCCAGAGCAATGTCCCAAAATTGAATCAAGGAGCTCTGAGCATTACTGCCACCTCCATATTGACGATACTCGGGTTTTGTGCTCCCGTCGTCATACAGCAGACCATGAGGAAGTCCCGCATCGGCCATGTTCTTGCTACCAGCAAGGTATGGCCGAATCCGGTGGTAGAACACATATGGATCACAGTTCTCGTACATCCGTTCTAGCAGCGCTCCTACTTCATCTATGACTTCGGCGAGCCTCTGTAGGGATTCCGTCACCACCAGGCTGTTTCCAGCTCGGGCTGCAGAAATTGCTTGCAGCGCCAGCGATAGAGATGGCGCTCCACGAGCCTCGATGGCAACAGAAATGAGGTAGAACCATTGTTCATCCAACGAGCCTGTGAAGGTGTTCAGACAACTCAGGTTACTGAGGTCTTCCGCAGCTTCCTCAGGGAATATAGACTTGTAGTTCCACAGACACACTCCGGCATATGTAGCAACCGGAGGAAGTTCCAAATGCTTGCAAGCCTCTAGCAGGGGAACGGTGATTTGAGGAGGCACTTTCTGGCAGGAGTTAGTATGAACTGTACCAAGAAAACATGTGTGTGACTTACTTCAGATGGTTTGCTTCCTCCCCAGACATATCCGTGCAGGATGAATCCTAGGACAACATAGGCCCTTCTCCACTCACCTTCTGACTGAAGGTAGGACGTGGATAAGATAGGCATCTGGTCCACAACGTCCCGAATCCTCCTACTCAGCAATAGCGATTGTAGATTCGAAACCATCCACTCCCACCGAGCATAATAGGGGTCTGGTAGGACATCAAGGGGTGGCTCAGGCGGAAGAAATCCATGGTCTGGCGAAATGCCGTAGTCCGCTAGTGCTGGAACCGGTGGAAGCATGATGACTAGAATGAGTATAGAATCACAGTAATTGATCCGACAATGCTGACGTCTAACACGAATACCAGAAGAACAAGATGTCTAGTCTGCTTAGTCCAACACTGCTGTCTAGAAGGACCTAGGTAGGCTTTGCACACGGCAATACTGACGTCAAGTTAGTTTCATGAAGAAGGTCTAGATGGCCAGAGTGTAGGGAAGAGCATACAGACTCAAAGACTGATGTCTTAAAAAGATTATGGTCGCGTGACCACTTGGATTAACAATCCGTAAGGTCAAGGCCGAGCCTCGGGCAGAGAGGAGTCACCAGAATGGAAAGAAGGGATGAGGTCAGGTCAGGAAATTAACTCAAATCCCATCAAAAACCAGGCAATGGACGGTTACAGATAAAGTGAAAGAAAGCCGAGGCTTCCGGTATTCTTCTCCAGGGGAGTTTTGTCAGTGAAACACCAGCCAAACCTGTGGATGTGGCAACAAAGGGAAGAAGAAACAGGGGGAAAAGAAGAAGAACAATGATCCACGGTGAGGAAGGAAGTTTAATGAACCAGCCAGAAAATAAAAGTCTCACGAAAAGACCGACGACGAACCGTGGGAGATTGACGGGAAATGACGAGAATTAATCAGCGGTTAATAACGAGGGTGCCACCGGACTCCTAAGACGGGGACAATAGGCATGAGGGAATTAATCCCCTCCGTTACCGTTGCTCAACAGGAGAGGCGTGGCCTAGAGGCCTGCTTGATGCGCAATAAAGTGCATGGGAGGGAGTGGGCCAACTGCGACTACAGAGCACGGAATAAATGGGCAGGCACCTTGTTGCCGCCGACCACCCAGCAAACTCGTGACGAGGGTGTGAAATCAATATGGTCTCCATTGGTTCCGGTAAGGCGAGAGGGCACTGGTCGTCCAGAATGTCGAGAAGTAGAATGGATGGATCAGGATCGACTTTTTGGAGGGAGGAACATGGTAACATGGAAGTGGCTGGAGCTTGAAGAGCTTGATCTATAGAAGTATATACTCTATCTTGATCCCAGACCAGCGGAGAGCATTGGGTGCAAGCGAAAGGGGTGTCCGGTCACGTGTACTAGTCTGAGTGCTAGAGAATGAACCGGAATCCGCTTCCATGGGCGGTTGAGTGCGATTTCGGACCCGCCGCGTCCCATTAAGCGAGAGTCTACGCAAATTCGCTCGCACCCACGCCACCCCATTTGAGGTCTGCGGTGAACGCAAGGGACCCGGACTTCCCGCCCCGTTATCAATCAGCTTATTCAAACCTCGGGTTACGTACTTAGTATGGTGACTGTTAACCCCGGAGTAACTCCGAAGTCATTTCTACATACATACCTTTGACCACTGCATTACTCCGACCCGCTTCCAGTCTTCTGCGACACTTTCTCGAAGTCTATATAGTAAACCAGATCACCCAATTATCTCTCACCAAAGATTGTGTGAAAAAACATGATTCAAGTCAATCATTATCCATGATATTTCATCGAACTGTGACCTGCAAATAAGTGAACTGTAGATAAACCAGGCAGTGCAATCCAAGAACTTGAAACACAAACTAAGAAATTATTGGAATTGACGTCTACGCACTGGCACGTCGCTACAGGTTTGCTTTTCGATTCTCTACTCAGGTTTATTGCTTCATGTTGCTGCAGCTGGAAGGCCGATTCACCCGATATGATGCATTCTTAAGGTTTCAATGATCTAATATCGTGTGCAATGGCGTCATATTGTCTTTGAACCCGGCTAACTAGTTCAATTTACAAACTAACCAGAGTCGATCGTCGTCCGAATAAGATTCATTCTTTATACAAAATTACTCAGAGATCGTCATCCATCCGTAGTGCAATCCCAGCCAACGCCATCCCAAGGGTGATATCGGGAATCTTCAAGACAGAAAGTATAAAACAGAGAGAGAAAAAGAGACCCAGACCGGTCATGAAACAGTCAAATACCGGCTTGGACGACCATTCGGAAGATTAGGGCACTCCGTCCGAAGTATATTACAATTTAATGTTGACTCCATTCGATCGTGTTCAGATCGATACCTTCCTGCACCAACTCCCAGAGGGGGCTCAGCTCGCGTAGGAAATGAACGCGGTCCTGCACCGCCTTCAGTACGTAGTCGATCTCGCTATCCGAAGTGAATCGTCCAATTCCGAACCGGATACTGCTATGGGCGCTCTCATCACTGCTACCCAAGGCACGAAGGACGTAGCTAGGCTCCAATGACGCGGAGGTACAGGCACTACCCGACGACAGAGCAATGTCCTTCAAGGCCATCAGAAGAGATTCTCCCTCGATGTAGGCAAAGGAAACGTTGACGCATCCCGGGTAGTGGTGTTCAGGGTCTCCGTTAAGGTGTGTGTGTTCCATGGATAGGAGCCCGTCGGTCAGGCGCTTCGACAAACGATCAATGTGCTTGGTGTCATACTGTCAATTTAATTAGCGACGTCGACTGACGTATAGCCGCATAAGGCAAACAAAGCAAACAAAATATAGCCAGCTCATTACCCCTGCTGAGGCGTCATAGGCCCGTGGGTCACGCGTAAGGCGTGCAGCTACCCCCACTGGTCTCGGACATCCATATTTGCAGTATATAATCATTCGACAATGGAAAAGGATTTGTAAGAAAACATAGGGGAAAGAAATATAGAACGTACCTCCATATCCTGTGAAGCGATACGGCAGGCCTCACCGAAGCCAACGACCAGATGAGGGGCAAGAGTACCACTGCGCAGGCCTCGCTCCTGCCCACCTCCAGTAATGAGAGGATCAAGACGGACCCTAGGACGACGTCTGACATAGCAAGCCCCAATACCCTTGGGGCCGTAAATCTTATGGCTCGAAATAGACATCAAATCGATATTCAACTTATTCACATCCAGCTGGATCTTTCCAACAGCCTGTGCAGCGTCCGTGTGGAAGAAAATCTTCTTAGAGCGGCACAACTTTCCAATCTGTTCCAAGGGCTGAATGACACCGATCTCGTTGTTGACGGCCATGATGCTGACGAGGGCCGTTTCAGGGCGAATAGCCGCCTCAAGGTCTTCCATCCGAATCAAGCCGTTGTTCTGCACAGGGAGATACGTAACTTCGTAGCCCTCATCCTGAAGATGCCGACAGCTGTCAAGAACACACTTGTGCTCGGTCTGCGTTGTGATGATGTGGTTCTTCTTGCCGGAGCGCCCGAAAAATCTCGCCACACCCTTAATGCTCATGTTGTTACTCTCAGTAGCACCGCTAGTGAAGATGATCTCTTTCGGGTCTGCGCCGATCAGCTTGGCGATATGCTCTCGGGATTGCTCGACCGCCTTTTCTGACTCCCAACCGTATGCATGGGTTCTCGAGTGAGGGTTGCCGTAAATTCCGGTCAAAAAGGGGAGCATGGCGTCTAGAACACGGGGATCCGTTGGAGTTGTGGCTTGCATATCGAGATAGATCGGTCGCGTTCCTTGGTCCATGACAGTGGCCTGCTTGAGGATGCCGGCAGACGGGCTCATCGAGGCATCGCCGGAAACACCAGAACTAGGGAGCTCCACCTTCTGCGGCTGCACCCCAGTTTGTTTCATAAATTCCTTCTGCTCCTGCTTAATAGCGGTATCTACCGAAACCTGAGCATTTCCAGCCTTGGTTTCGGAGACATAGAACCGTCTCGATGGAGTGGCGAGCACCCGTCTGGGAAGGGCGGAAGTGAAGGAGCCATGCTGCGTCGACGGCAGTCGACGAGCGTAGGCGCGAGTTGCCTGTCTCAAGGCTGATTGGGTAACATTAGACATCATTGAGATGGATCCGCAACTGTGCCATATACGGTAGACAGTTGGTGATAAGAGGAGACGGAGGGAAAGGGAGAGCGAGAGATGGGAAAAACTTTGGGTACGGTTATATCATTGCCGAGCTCACTAAGCCCGATCGGATTTATCAGATAGTCCGAAGGTGCTTTCCCCTTTAGGAACCGGCATCGGGCTTTTGATTGTTTCTGCAGTATTACTACGGAGTACGATAAGTAGATAAACAATACAAAATACAGAATAATTAATGGTGAAGATGTGTATATGATATTTATCTTGGAGTAGCTCTCACTGTGGTTTTATTCAATGGCAACATCCCCCGAAACTTCAGTATATATTTTCGCATTATGAAGCGAAATATATGTGACCAAGACAATTGCAAATGTATGTGAAGAATCACGTGGGGTAAGATAGCCCGGATAAACCTGCAGCTCTCCGCGGAAAAGTCCCATATATGGTTATTGCACCCATAACCACTCTTTTCCACGTTGAAGGATTTCCAGTGTCACTAACTTATTGCGGGGAATTCTCAAAGCAGTTAAATTCGAAACCCGGAGTACTTATGATGCAAATGATGCAAACCACGGAAGGACCAGGAAGGGAAGGGAAAGGAAAAACAGTTCATCCTGAGAATCACTCAGCCCTGTCGTGCCAACTTTTGGATACTCTGGTGCCTAATCATACGGAGTACCCAGGGACGAACCCCCGAGATCCGCGTGTATTTATTAACTCGGCATTGCTGACCTGGCGCTTGTGCCACACCTTTTTGAGGCCTACCCAATGTACCATATCCACACTCACGAGAAAAATAGCTAGTGTTAAAGCTGTTGTTATTTGGAACTACCGACCTTATATTTCTTTCCTTTAGCTATAAACCCGGCATAGCTACACTAAGGAAAGTGTAGCTTAGCGACCTATTCTCCGAGAAGGAGGTATTATGTCATAGCACAGCCACAGCGCCGAGCCAAACGAACTGAAGTCTAACCGTCACCGGCTCTCCGCCGCCCTACAAGCCCCAAAGCACAGCGCCGAGCGAAAGATTACTTCCCCCACCTCCGCCGTGCCTCCTTCTCTCTCACTGTCAACTTCTCTGAATTATACCTCTTACCTGTTCACTCACGGCTGACTTGTGAACGTCTGTGTTTTTCTCCTTGGTTGTCCCGATATCTTCCGGAGTCTTCGCTGCCTGCGACAGAATCCAACATGAGTTTGAAGGGCTTTCAGAAGAGCATTGTCCGAGCGCCACAACAGTTCAAGGCCAAATTCAACATTGGCGAACACACGAAGGACGCAGTCTATAGCGATGCAGAGCGGCGTTTCCAGGAACTCGAAACGGAGACTAAAAAACTGCACGATGAATCAAAGAAGTATTTTGATGCCATTAATGGTACGGCCCTTCATCCCTCTGTAGGGCCCGTGATGGCCTAATGTGTCTCGCTAATGGACTATTAGGTATGCTAAACCACCAAATCGAATTCTCCAAGGCCATGACAGAACTATATAAGCCGATCTCCGGCCGCGCATCAGATCCAAGCTCGTATACGATTGAAGGCAACCCCGAAGGCATCCAGGCTTGTGAAGAATACGAAGCAATTGTACGCGAACTCCAGGAATCGCTCGCGCCCGAGCTGGAAATGATTGAAAGCCGCATTATCAGCCCTGCGGATCAGTTGCTGGAGGTTATTAAAGTGATCCGCAAAGTCGCAGTGAAACGAGACCATAAGAAGCTGGATTATGATCGGCATAGGGCCTCCCTCAAGAAGCTCCAAGACAAGAAAGACAAGTCTCTCAAGGATGAAAAGGCTCTCTATAAGGCTGAAAACGATGTGGAACAAGCCACTCAAGAATATAACTATTACAACGACTTGCTCAAGGACGAGCTGCCGAAGTTGTTTGCCCTCGAAGCAGAATTCATTCGACCACTATTCCAGTCGTTCTACTACATGCAATTGAACGTCTTCTACACTCTTCATGAAAAGATGCAGGGGATGAACATTGGCTACTTCGATCTCACGTTGGATGTCGAGGAAGCGTTCGAGAAGAAACGCGGCGATGTTAAGGAACGTGCTGAAGAGTTGACCATTGTTCACTTCAAGACCAAGGGTATCCGTCAACAGAACTCGAAATTTGGCAAGGACAAGTTGGAAAAGGAGAATAAGTTTTCCCCGCGGCAGAGGGATCCCGATGTCGTTGAAAATCCTCCCCCTCCTTATTCTGCTGCAACAAGTGGGAGTAGTAGCAGCTTTGTTGCGGCCGCCAAATCTAAATCGAAGCCAGCTCCTCCGCCCCCGAAGCCGAAGCCAGCCAGATTCGCCGCACCGGTGGAAACGGTCACAGCACTGTATGATTATGAAGCGCAAGCACATGGTGATCTCAGTTTCTCGGCGGGAGATGTCATCGAGATTGTACAACGGACGGATAACCAGAACGAATGGTGGACTGGCCGTGTCGATGGACGCGAAGGCCAATTCCCAGGTAAGCTCTTTGTTCTGCATTGCTGGCTTTATACCGCGACTAATCACTACCAAAGCAAACTACGTCCAATTCAGTTAATTCAATCCTCCCGCGCTATATATCGCTTCTTATCTCGTTCATGCGAATACCGTTCTAGTGTAGCAGGAGTTTGCGGTGTAGCACTATCTCCCAGCTTGCAATTCTTACTCACTCTTCCTAGTCGCTTGCTTTGCTCCAACTCGTCTTGCATATTATCTATTGCGTTGCATAGACTTTTGCATGGTAATAATCGTTTACTTGTATATATTAATTTTTGGACATCGTTCCTTCCACCAATCAACACCAACATCGCGAGGATCGAATTTCTCTCAGTAAACTTTCTGTCCAAAGGATATACTACTACATGGCTCCTATGATAAATAATAGTACAATAAATGGGGATACATGGACACCGCCATGTTGTTCTCGTCGCGTTCTTTATTACACCCGGAAATTCGAGTCACGACAAGTTTATTGACTGACTAGATTGACGAGCTCACACGAAGATTTTAGATAGCCAACGGTATTCGCCATGTCAGCAAAAGGATTTATGAGCTGATGAGCAGTACACGGATTCAAAAGACCCCAGTGAACACTCAAGAAAGATGCAAAGTACAGGACCAACATAACCACCAGCAACCCTATGGACCAAAGGCCTGTCAGAAAGATCAGATCAAGATGCTTCTCCTTCTGGTACCTTGCGGCTTTCACCGTTTCAAGCTCAAGAGTCAGCTTAGCCATTTTTCTTTTAATAAGAATCTTCTTGAAGTTGTCCTCAATAAACTTCATAAGCACATCTGGGACGCTGTCTATATCCTTGACTTTCCCCTGTCTTTAGTCAATACAGCCATGTAGGCTGACACGGAGGGATATATACCTACAGTTTCTTCTACGCTCAGATTGTGGTAGTCCAGAGTCTCAGTCTCGAGTCTAACATTATAACATCATAAACAGCCTTCGGCGCGTAAGGAGCCATTGCATTTGAGTCCCTCAAGTACATCTCTCACAAGACACCTTGCGCTTTCCTCTTTGTTTCCAACGAATGTGGTAGCCTGTTGTCAGATCAGAACTTGTTTGTGAGATGAGATAGTTTGAGGGTGTAGTCTACTTGCACTTTTGCCCCATTTCTGAGGGGTTGGTCAATTTACTGATTGGAGAACCCATTATGTCCTTGATTTAACTGACTGAGATATAACAACAACTAGAAAGAATGATTTGAGCTCTAGAAGCTACATACTGTGGCTAGAACGGGATGGGTCTTTTATTCGAGGACGCACAAAGAGAAGATGGTTTGTGTTAGTGGGCATTGTTTTATGGAATATTTTTGAACAAAGTGGATTGTCCCTGTGTCCTGGTCTTTTGTTGTGTTAAATCCTGGGTATCTATAAATCGTCCAAGGACAGGTCAAAGGACAATGAAGAAGCTGGTTGAACAGAGATGCATAGATATTAAGTTATCAAATTCGTAGATTACATGGCATTGAACCCTGTGATGGAGAGACAGGGGTTATAAACAAATTGACGGAAGCAAAAGAGAGAAGGCCCATTAAAACAAGTACACCGCATCCCAACCGAGCAATGGGTTGATAGCGATACACATGTAGAACATGTATCCCTAGGTACGATTGCCAGCTAGCCTTCACTCCCAGCATCAGCACTCAATGTTCCTTTAGCGATAGAAGTGCCTTAAAACCCACCCCCGTCTTTTTCAAGTAAGCGTTGATAAAGCAGTTGTTGAGCGGCCGGAAGACACGTAGATCCTTCGGATGGAATTATTTGCACAATGAAACAATGGCTGGAAGGTCTTTCCTCATTCCTTCAAGGACTTTGTCCTTACCAAGTTGAGCACACTATTTATTTTTGATGTATTCGTCAGCTTGTAGTCAAACAACTAAAGACCTGAAACTCAAGGATACTGCTACCACTTACAAGATCTTGCATGCTGGTCCCCGTCGCGCTTGCAAGTCTCAGGATTGCCCTTTGGACGGCCATTTCCGCTATTTTCTGCTCTGAGTAGCCATTAGGATTCGTGCACACTCCACCGCCAGGAGGACAACCCATTTCCTCCGGTGTCAATGGAGCTGCAATAGTGGCAGTGACGAGCAATGAGGAGAGGAGCCAGAAGAACCGCATGTTTGCTAGAGTTGAAAACTCGGATTTCCAAATATGGGCAGAAGAAGAATATAGATATCTTTGTGTAAAAGAATGCCTGAATGATACAGCTGATTATGATCACAGAATTTGAAACGCAAGGCTCTGGCAGGGCCTACCCGTCCTTTTATAGGCTTCAGAAGTGCTAATTCAGTAGTGAATGTCTTTAGCCTTTTACGTCTGGGTAGAGAATTTGGAGAAGTTAGCATAGATCTTCCATCATCATATCGAGCTATTGAAGTGCTCCGTGGGGGTTGTCATAATTTTTTTTTATTTAAGATTTCAATAGATCGTTCATCTTTTGCTGTTGTTCGTGGGAGATCAACCCATTTGAGGTCTGGGAGTTGTCCAATAGAAGTAGCGAAGATAGGCCAGCTGGAAATAGGTTCCCAATTCGCTAAAGAGAGCGCTGAAAACTAGAGTTCTTTTGCGCTGCTTATCTTTTCCTCGAGTCCTTTTCGGGTAAGAGATTGGTGAAAATTTTCAGCCGATCGATAGTCAGTCACGAGATAGTCACCAAATAGTCAATTAATAGTCAATGAGTAGTCAATAGCAGTACAAGCCAAGAGGAAACTTAGAATATACCCCATAATTATTCACTTCTTTTCTGGAAATGATCGGCAGATAGATTTGAAACTAAACGCTATCTGTCTTCGGCCGCCGAGCGCTCTGGCAGATAATATAGTCTTCATATCTAATGAATTAAACCAGACATCTAAGTCTTCTTTCTATAGATGGTTGCATACTAAGTCAATATCTAAGTCTACAATCTGCAGATGTGATAATTGGATGTGATCTAATCTGTTGGATGCTGCCGCAGACTATCTATGACTTAGGGCTTCATCTACTTCGCCGCCGGGGGATAGATCACGAATGTCGTATAGGTTGACGAACGTAGAACCTCAAATAATAATCTAGGGAATATGCTCTAAACCTAGCGCTTAGAAGAATAAACAAAAGTACACACACCCTTACACTTCATTTCCTTCCATTATACTCCGTACACCAACACGCCTCCACTATATACTGATGCCTCACCCCTCAGGCAACAAAGGCACCCCCACCAAGCAACCTTCCAACCCGGTAACTTTTTTTCCAACACCCCTCACTGCACTCACCACATCAACCATACCATCATATCAACCAAACCTCAGCGTCACAATCGCAACCACCAATCCAATTCACAAAATCAAACAAACAACACACCGGCTCAATTCAACCCAACCCAACCGCCCAAAATGTCCCAAGAACCCTACACCCCACCCCCACTACCAAAACCATTCACAAATACGACCCCACAACCAACGCTCCTCACACAAGGCGCCGAAGCCCACCTCTACAAAACAATCCACCTCAACACCAACACGCCCGCGGCACTGAAAATCCGGCCCTCGAAACCCTACCGCCACCCCATTCTCGACCGCCGATTGACCCGCCAGCGCATCCTCCAGGAAGCGCGGTGTTTGGTGAAGCTCGTTCGGGAGGGGGTTAATGTCCCTGCTGTGTTGGCATTGGATTGGGAAGGACAGGGTGGGGAGAATGGGAATGGGGGCGCGTGGTTGCTTATGGAATGGATTGAGGGATTGGTTGTGAGGGTTGTTTTTGAGAGATGGGAGGCGTTTATGAAAGCTTTTGGGGGTTCATTGAGTGAGGAGGAGTTGCGGAAGGAGGAGGAGAAGGTTAGGGGTTTAATGAGAGGGATTGGGAGTGTGGTTGGTGGGTTGCATAAGGCTGGGGTTATTCATGGGGATTTGACGACGAGTAATTTGATTCTTAGGACGGGAGATGTCGATACTGGGGCTGGGGAGAGTCCGGCCATGCAAGGGGATGTTGTTTTGATTGATTTTGGCTTGGCAGGGCAGAGTTCTTCGGAGGAGGATCGCGCGGTCGATTTGTATGTTCTTGAGAGGGCATTTGGCAGTACGCATCCTCAGGCTGAGAAGTTCTTTGAGGAAGTGCTTGATGGGTATAAGGATAGTTATAAGGGGGCTGCGATTACGTTGAAGAGGTTGCAGGATGTTAGGATGAGAGGGCGCAAGAGGAGCATGATTGGGTGAATTTTATTTACTTTCGTCTCTGAGTTTATGTGCTATGGGATTATGGGTTATGGGTTGGAGTTGGCATTACGATCCAGAAGTTTTGCGGGAGGAATCATGCTTTCATTCATCGTCAATGACAAACGCCACGCTTTATCGTCACAATGCTGGAGATGAGGTACGCCTCGGATGGGGGAATCTGGGAATAGACAGACGGGGAAATGGCGAGGGAGGGAGAGAAAGGAGGATCGATCATTCTTGACGAGCCTTGACGCAGGTTCCCATATCGGCGAGTGCGAAATAACCCTTGTTCTCGACCACGCCGCGGTCCTTGACAACAGCCGTATACTTGACCACCCACTGCGGCTCGACATCACCTTGGATACCGTCGTCTGCATCCGGAGTGGAAGCAAGAATACCGGCGCCCTTCTCTCCCGGACCAAGGAGTTCCCGCGTGGTACCGATGGGCAGGATGTCCATGCAGTCGTTGTGGGTGAGGAGCTGGATATTCTCTGATTTTGCATAGAGAATCAACGATTTCGGTACGACACAGCAGTCCTTGAGGTTGATCTGGTCGACAGAGGGCTTGACCTTCGTATGCGGCAGGAACCGGGCGAGTCTCTCACTGCCAAACTCCGCCACACCCAGCTGAGAAATCATACCCTTCTCCTGCAGATCCTCGAGCACCCTCCATGTGCGAATCATGCTGTCAAAGTCATCTGGCTCCTCACTCCCAGTATCCGACTCCACCTCCTCTTCACTATCATCCTCCGCATCGAACAAAATCCCGGGGAAAGAAACAATCAATAGATCAATAGAATCCACATGTAACTCCTTCAAGACCAAATCAATTGCCTCCCTCGTATGCGCACATCGTCGCGACGCCGGAATCCCCGGCAAATAGAACAATTTGACCGTAATATCGTACTGCGCCTTCTCCTCTGCCAGCCCACGCTGCGCGAAATCAATCGCCGGAATGTAGAGGCCGTCTTCGGTTTCCCGGGTCCAAGCCCGATACCGCGGGGTCGTTGTCGTCTCGGCCGAAGATAATTGTTGCGCCGTCTGGAAATTTGACCGCAGCGAATTAATCAGCTCCACGTTGGATTTTTCGGTCGAGGCCTGTCGGATGACAGTGTGACCTCCGGACGTCATAAGATTTCTGCCCCGTATTGTGTCAGTATGTATGTAGATTCGGGGTTTGCGCGCCTGCGGGGTTGGTTCTTTTCGCGGAGGGGGAATCTTTGTTGCCGCAGGGGGTTTATCGCCACTTACGAGGTGGAGAGGATGAGTTTCATGGTCGCTGTTGAATGGATAGCAGACAGACTATGATAGGGATAGGGTATAGTCTGGTTGCAATATGGGGGGGGGGGGGGGGTTTGGGGGAAGGGTCGGTGTGAATAGATTGTCGCGGGGAGGGAAAACTTTCGGGCAGTGAGTGCCGTTGAATTGCTAAGCATATCTAAGCAGCCCCGCGGGTGGTGGTGCCCTTGCCTTTCCGTTTACGGTAATCTATCACATCCTCATGCCCTCATAATCAATCGCAACTATAACAAACTATATATTACATACGGATTGGCAATATAAATCTACTAAGATAGCATAGATTTACCCTTTATATAGATCTACCTCTACCCCTACAACCCTAAACAGACCACCTAATCAAAATCAAGTGTAGGATCCCAATCCGTAGGGTCATACTCCCCCGTAAAAAGCCTCTTCATATCCTCCTCATCCAACTCGAAATCGAACACCTCCGCATTCTCTCTAATCCGACTAGGAGTCGCAGACTTCGGCAAAGGCACAAGACCCTACAAGCCAACCAACCACCATTAGCCCACCGAACCCCAACACCACCAAATAACAGAATGAACTGAACAGAACAGCCAAACGAAACTTGAAGAAAAGAGAAAAACTCACCCTCTGCAAACACCACCGAATCATGATCTGCGCCGGCGACTTATTATACTTCTTCCCCAGCTCCTTTAACACAGCCTCACCCATGCGAGTCCCATGCGCAAGCGGCGAATAAGCCTCGACAACAATATTCCGCGTCTGAAGCCACTCGACGATATCCTCGCGCGCGCACCACGGATGGATCTCATATTGTCCGACGTCGATGGCCCCGCCGCCTCCTTGCTGGATGTACTCCTCTAGTTCGTTAAGATGGTGAATGCCATAATTGGAGACACCGATTGATTTCGTTTTGCCCGCTTTCTGGGCTTCGACGAGTGCTCGCCACGAGCCTAGACGGTCTTCTTTGCCGCCGTAGGGGGCGTGGATTAGAATCCTGTTCTAGCATTAGTTATCATTCTATAATGTAGTGATTGCTTAAGATTATATGGTATACGGGGACAAAAAAAAAAAAGGAAAACTTACAGATCGAAATAATCCACTCCCGCTTCCCGGAGACTACTCTCGACAGCCCGCTTAGTCCTCTCATACCCCATAGACCCGGGAGGGATCTTGGTCGTAAAGAAGATCTGGGAGCGGTCTAGCCCTGACTTTGCGATTGCGCGGCCACAGGCCTTCTCGTTTCGGTACATTATTGCTGAGTCGACCTATCTTTACTGTTAAGTCTTTGGATTTTATGTGTTATTTTGGAAGAGGATGGGGGAGGATGTATACATGGCGGTAGCCGGTGCTGAAGGCTTCTAGGACGGGGCTTTCAGTTTTTGAAGGGGAGCTTTTGGTTTTTTTCCTTTGATTAGTATTAAGGTCATCTTTGAGGTGAGGGTTGGACGGACATTAGGTAGACCTGGGGGTTTGGTTAGTGACTGTCTTTGCGGGGTGTTATTGTTAAGGGTTCATGGGGTATGTATAGGTTTACTTACGCCGTAGCCGAGGATGGGGATCTCGTGGCCTGAGTGTAGGCGGTAGGTTGATTGGAGGGTTTTAGGGGATGTCATATTTATTTACTATGCAGGGTTTATTGTGTAGGTAGGGGTTATTTGGAGGTGAAGAGGTACAGATGGGGGGTTTGGGTTGAGTCTTAAAGGTACTTCGTACTAACTACTAGTATGAGATCATTGGGGTGGGGCGCGCATCTGTTAATATAACCCGATTCGGTAAGTGATTCCCTACATGTTCTCTACACAGGTGCTGTACACTACAGTGTACTATACACTACACAGTATAAGGCCGATTATGAAATACATATCATCGTTTGATTCATATGGTAACAATAACACGTAGTCAATAGTACAAGGATGGCGATCCCATCCACCACTACCTGAATATCGCTAATGCGCAAAACATGATGAACAGCCAAAAAGACAGATGCACACTGATATATCCAACGCCGTGTGATGCACTTTTATAAGTAGCAAACTGCCAAACCTATTAGCACTTTTGAATATTACACTATCACGCCCGAGCTTTCTTCTTCGGTTTGAGGGGAGCTTCGCAGACGTTGTTCCAAGTGTCTTCAAAGGTGGTCTTCCTGGCTCCGATCTGCCCTTCGAAGAAATTCATCCGACGGACCACTTCCATGGCACCGGTTCCTAGAGACACCGTTTTACCCATGATGATACACTCCGAGACACCCTCGACAAGGTCGGTACGGCCTGCTCCACCAGCGTCGAACAGATGGTCGGCGGTCTTCTCGAAGGAGGCCAACTGAAGGACAGAGTCACGCATCTTGGCAAGACCGAACCGTGTAATACCCAGAACTTCACCCTTGTAAGTCATGACATCAGCAAGAAGCTGCATGTGTCGAGGATCAATGTCCATGTCCTTCATCACCTCACTGATTTCACGAACAATGGTCGTCCGGGCGGCTTCTATACCCAGGACTTCACGCATCTCCATCACGTTATTCGTAGATGTGCGAAGACCGTCAACACCAATTGTGTTCATACATGCCCGAAGACCGTATCCTTCCACAAGGAGGGTGTTGGTAGTCGACGTGTCATCCGTCCGAATAATCGCACGGTAGGCTTGAGGGTGACCGAGAACCTGGATGTCGGGAAGTAGGCGCTTGAGATGCTTCAAACGCAGGAAAGGATCAGCACTCGTCGCGGCAATTTCCGTCTTCGAAAGGCCGAGCTTGCTGGCAGGATCCACATCCATATGGATATGGATATGTGACCGCTGGCAACGGAACTTCAAGTCATCGGACTTAAAGCGTCTATGGTTCTTGATGGCAGCAAGGATATCATGGATCTTCAATTCGAGCGCCAAGTCTTGGATGGTCTTCCAGTTAATCTTGACGGTGATGTATGCCTCTTTGCCAGTCCAGGTCTCTCGGACATAGTGGGTGATATCCCTGAGATATGTCTTCTCGATACGTCCCTTCACAATCCGAGCCGCAATGACATTATCCTTGGTTACCAGTTCACAGGACACGACCGGCGTACTAATTTCCTTTGAAGCGTTGATAATTTCCTTAATACGGGGGACACCCTGAGTGATACTCATACCAGCGACACCAGCAAAATGGAAAGTCTTCAAAGTCATCTGAGTACCGGGTTCACCGATAGACTGGGCACCAACAGCACCCACTGCATGACCAGGCTCCACCTGAGCCTTCTTGTATTTCATCAAACATGCAGAGATGAAGGTCCTGAGCGTCGTTTCGGTCAACTTGCCTGTATGGTTCAAGCCCTGCTGACTCCTCTCATCAGAAGGATCAATGTCACCGCCTCGGGAGATCAATTTGTCCGCCTTTGTGGAAACATATTGCTGGATAGACTCGAGGAAGTCGCGTGCACTTTCGAATTGGTCAATGCCGTGGTTAGACCGGTCCATGTAGCCGAGTTCAACCTCGAGCAGATCTTTCCGGACCAATTTAGCGCGCTCCTTTGAGAGCATCTCCTCACACACTTCCATGATCTCTGCGGGTTGCAAACTGCGCTCGTCATTATCATAGGTGGTTGCTTCAGAGTGAATGAATGTCCGATCGAAATGAACAGGCTTCGCCTTGCCCTCCATATCCACGGGGTCCAGCTTGTCATCACCATACTGGAACTGAACGATATGGCCGGAAGAGTTCCGCACAGTATCATCATACCGTGAAGAGAGATCTTCCAAGGACTTCATCAAACGACGCGACATGTAACCAGTTTCGGCGGTTTTGACGGCCGTATCGACCAGACCTTCACGACCGGACATGGCGTGGAAAATAAACTCATAAGGCTCT